CTCTGACATACTACAGTCTACAACCATTATATCTGTACCCCTGAACTATGGGAAAATATATCCATAACCGTAACGGACCCAATGATATATCAAACATAAAACCGTATCGCAAGTTCTGTAAGTTCCTTGTAGCGTTTTTGTAACAAATACCAGAGTCGATTTACTTTGACGATGCCGTTCAACGCTTTTAAATTAGTTTTTAACGTCAAATAACGTAAGTAGGACAAACGTAACCGGCAACCAATCAATAGTGGCGAAATCCAAATAAAACACTATTGTACGTTCAATTACGAGAAAACTGTTAAATATGCCAGAAGGTTCAAATCCCACTGGTTCTTATTGTTACAGTAAGTTCAATGGCCTCGGAAGAAAATCGTAGAAACGTATTACAAAATCACAATTCAAATGCTAATACCAACTGAAAGTGTTTTTTTTCTATAATCTAAGTATGATATTCATATAGTTGTTACTTGTATTTTTATTTATTTTAGGTACTTGTTTTTCGTTAAAACTTTATTAAAATATACAATTTTGAATCTCGTCGTCTTTTTAGTATTCTCTTCATACATTTTTCGATTTTTGTCTTGGGCGTACCTTTTTTGTTCATATTGTCTCACTCGCTTATGACAAAAAGTGTCCTAACCGGTGGATTGGCCCTTTCCGACCTATGCCACAGACATCCCATCATAACAATAATTGTTAACGTTGAGAATTATATTATTTAAACAATATTAAAATAGTTTATTACGTGCACGATTGTAAGTTAGATATTATTATAACATCACTGCACAAATATGCTCATTAGTTTGAGACTACATTTTTATGTGTTATGCTTTCGCTGTGGTTTTAAAATAGTAGATTTGACTTAATAGCCGCGCGGTTGCTAACACTTTTTATTGCTTAACAATTTTATGCGTTCTACGTTGAGAACATTGTTTATAAACGCGGTTTAATAACAACTAACTCCATGTACCTAAGTACCTATACGACTATTATAATGTATATATGTGGTTTTAATATACTTTTACTATAGTGGAGTAAGTGCAGAGAATAATATTCTTGTATTTTTCAAGTCGTTCTAAAATATAAAATAATCGTATATCTTGATTGTAAGTTGTTAAGCTATTAATTAGACGTTTTAATGAGTTGAACAACAAGGTTAATTTTTTATGGGTGTTTTTTTATGGTAGATCAAGTAAAGCAATACATTATGTATCTCCAAGTTTTACTTGTTTGAAAGTTGATAAGCAAATCAAGTATCAAAAAGTAGGTGGGTATAGTAAAAATTATAATAAGGTATAAGCGTTTTTAATCAATCAAAGTTCAGCAGTAATTTTTGAAATTCAAACATTCTCTTTTAGCTAATTCTATTTTATTTTCATTTCCGTTATTCCTTACCCATCGCCAGTTTAATACAATTTTATTTTTTTACTCTAAATGACTATTTCCATCTACTCAACACATCCTCAGATTTCAATAACACCATTGTGTTGTATGTCTCATCCAAAATATTTAAGTTTCTTTACACTATTTATCATTTGATCTAAGTACACTGTTTTTGACCGACCTGTTATCAACCTTTTTTTGTTTGATGCTTCCCTCCATTGCTCTAATTGTATTATTATCATATCTTCTTAGCCGTAGTTCTAAATATATTTAGAATATATTTATATAAATATCCCAAGTCTATAAAAAATATATTTTATTTTGTAGGTACACCCGATTACAATTATGAAAGATAAATAATGTAATTTTTACTAAACTAGTTTCATTTCTTCTGGTATTAATTATATTTTACGTTAATTGTGTACTCACCATGGCCCCAGGGAATAATCCATAAAAGGCCGTTTGAATAGTTTCGCTTTTTACAAATTTAAAATTTCAACTACTTAGGTACACTACAAACGTACAAATTAATTAATTTAATAACGTTAGTTCTTTTAAAAAACTACTCACGCGCCTCGAATAAATATACCTAGTCTCAGTAAAACAATGATGCTCAATTTATATTACAAATTAAATATTAGTATTTGCACAAAGTTACTTTAGTACATGTGCATGTGTCGTTGTGTGTTGTCTATTGACATACCTACGCCTAGTCAGTTTGATAATTAACGACAGCGTTTCCTATTTTTTTACAAAACTGTAATTGGAACTATCTTTACAACACAAATCTTCATTTTTCATTTAAAATAAACAACTTTTTTAAAGTAAAATCATTGTTTAAACTACTCCAAGCCGCTTGGATGTTACACAAGTAAAACTATATTTTCATCAAACTAAGTCTCAATATAAATTACTTTTTATTTGATGTATAGCATACAACATTTTGGAGTTTTTCTTTTAATTTCAAATTTGTTTAAATTTGTACATAACCCTTTTCTCCATCTAAAAAAAATCATTTATATTATACTCTCGAATAGGACCTTAGAAGATCTTCTAAGGCCGTGCTCTCGAATATGACCATCTGATAACAGTGCTAACATTTCCATTTAAAATAATTAATTATATATTAATTAATTGTAAACTGTAAAAAAATATCGCTGTAAGTTTGACACACTTGAATATTTGTACCCCAGAGCAAGTCTAATAACTAATAAGTCACAAAAAGTAAATTTAAAAGGAGAGAAAAATACAATTAGTTATTAATAATTATAAATTATTGATAATTAACTAAACCGGGAAATTGAAATTTTTTTTTTAACAGACTTTTGCTCTGATATATGGATATACTACCTCATGCAAAATTAATGGAAAAACGTATTCAATGGCTCAAAATAAACGTCTTCAATTTAAAGGGGCAATATTTCTTTCAACTGCTTTAAAACTGTAATTTTATGCCAATTTGAAAAATTCCAAAAAACTAAATTTTTATATGGAAATAATATATAGTACAACTGTATGATGCCATATTAATTCCTTGCATCAGTATTTATTTATATAATTTATTGCAAAACACACCACGGGTCAATCTTAAAGTACAACAACTCATCATATTCACGTAAACATACAATTAGTAAATATTTAAATAATATCACAGATAACAGCGGTGCAAAACAACATCAAACATACCAACCTAAAGCGTGGTAGATCAGTAGCTCTAAGAGTTATAAATTGTGTTATTATAACTTCTTTAATTTCAACCTCGCCGAGTTAAATTTGTATGTACTAAACTCTGTACCGTGTACCGTGTTGTTGAATTCTTGCAGTGATGGATTGTATAGACTTTTTGTATTTTTTCTTTACTCTGGCTTGTTATATTGATATCGATTTACTAATCATTATTTTTTTAATATTGTAGCTATAGCAAAATATACGGTTATTATGGTATAAAATTAGAAAGTTATCTTTCCTTCAGTTTAACATAAATTGTTTATAAACTAATATGTTTTGTTTTTAATTTTTTATAGAACACGTCTGTACTTAATAATTCACTAGCAATCAAACTGTACCTATTTAGTATTTACCTAGCGGCTACTGGCTAGTGTAAATAAAAACTAATATGATGACAACTGTGTAGGTATAGAGCTATTTTGGCTCTGATACGTTGTATGCCCACATGCTTCGTCGGCAAACAAAAAAAAAACATTAATTTTAACCCTGAACACATGTTATAGTAGTATTACAGTAGACGGAAATCCTGGACGCTGCATGTTATACTAATTATTATGGGTGGCTAAACGAACCGTGCTCTGCGGTAGATGAAGAGAAAATAACCTTTTTTTTGTGCAATATAATGGCGTCGTGTGTTTAATTTTAGACAAAAAATAATGTTATGTTCCTATTATTTCGACTAATGGCTTTAATTTTGGGTAGAATGTTAAAAAAAATTAAATTTAAAATAAAGGTTTTGGAAAAGTAAACACGTCTTAGTTCAAACCGATGTGATGGTCGTAATCGGGGAGGGATGCGGATGCTATCGCGTTTGCCCTATTTTGTACTTATTAATTCTAGTGAATAAATTATTAATATGTATAAGCCTCGGTATTAAATCGCAAGATTATCGTGTTTTGAGTTATTAAAAAAATAAATAAGAAAACTATCCAACATATTCAAATTATTCAATGACATTATGCACCGTCAGTCCACTAGGTAATTTAAAAAAAAAATTAAACAATATAGTTTAAAGAATAATTAATATATTTTTAAGATAATATATTTACAAAGAGAAATAATCCAAAAGCCGTTGCGCAACTTGCCTATAAAATATTGTGTCAGAGTGAATAAATAAATCTTGAAAGTTAAAACTAAGTAATTAAAATTACATGATCATGTTACATTTTAATTTCTATTCTAATGACTAAATTAAAACCCCGGTTTTAATGGATCTGGAAACTTATAATCAGTTAAATTATTTAAAAATGTGCTTAGTTTGAAGCTTTGATATTCAATAATATGTTTAAATAAACGTTGGATGATTTTTAGGATCTCGACACACTAGATAATATTTGTATCTATACAGTTGCTGATCGAGTAGACAGGTTTAGCAGTAAAAAAATTAGTGGGTATAGCTAAACCATCTATACAAAATTAACATTAAGAAATTATATACAAATGTAAGACTTGATTTTAATTTTTACGTAGGTGATTTTTTGTTGTTATCAGAAATTTAATTATAGAACATTGAAATTACAATTTCTAAAAAAATTTTTAGTAAAAAGATCGCTATTACCTTATCCTTTAGTTATAAACTTTAAATATCACATCAATCACAAGCCACCAAAGTGTTAAAATCCTTTTTTACTTTTAAACTATGACATTATGCTCACATGTTGTATTTATAATTTACCCCAACATCTTTAAGTAGTTTTTTCAATAAGTTGCCTATATTTTACTCACTAAATAGGTGGTGTGGCGTCTAATTTAGTTGGTGTATTAATATTTATTAATATTTAAGAGAAGTAACAGGTCTAAAAATATTTGATATTTATTACATTTTACAAAAAATATATTTAATTCATTGGTTGATCAGCCTTAGTATACTGTACGAACACTCATCATTAGTAGAATATATTATTTTATTATAAGAATTAAAGAAAATATACATGTATACAATATACTTGTTTTAAAACCACATTTTCGTTAGCTCATTAACCCATAAAATAACATCATATATATCACTATTAATTTGTTATTCTATTATCACAGTGATAACAGTATCATAGTATTTAACATAAAATAAAAAATAAAACACTAATAAAATAAATCAACAAAACCATCACATTCTTTACTTTATATAAAACGATCAACATCCAATTTTCTTTCTAAAGATAGAAATCTTAAAAAACAACATCGCTTTTACATATACACTACAGTATTCTAATATATAATTATATAACTGACCTATAAGATCACATATGTTGATACAACTAAATGTGTAGTTTAAAAAAATATTAATAATAATAACTGATTGATACAATGATTAACTTTTTATTTGTTTTTAATAAATATAAGCTTAAATATAACTAATATATAAGAATTGATTATTAGTATAAGATGTCTAATTTAAATTGTTTACTTCTCTTTTTATGTACTTTAATTAACATATTCTCGTTTAGATAATGTACAAAATTTAGTTTTTCAAAATAGCATACAAATATAAATAATTTGTAATAAAATAATAATTCGCTCCTCAGTGCTATACAAAAGTGTTCTTCTAAAATATATCAATCTCATAAACTATAGTTAAATTTAATGTTTTCCTAATCATTTGTATATAAATATTTTTTTTTATTGTTTGTTAAAATACCAATTACAAAAAAAGGGCTGATCTCTACTAATACCTTCGATTGTTGTCTATATAATTGTTTATACTTTTTCTTTACTATATATGTAAAAATGAAAGACAAAAATCATAATATTGTTAATTGGAGAGATAAAATCCTTTAAATTGTAATATGTATACAAAAATAGAATGAAGTTTCACAACAATTTATTTGTTATATTATTCAATTACAATTTTGATAGTAAGCAAGCAAGAATTATTAATATATACAAACATTACTTTTAGTAAAACTGTTAATTAAAAAATAATAAAAATCAATATACTTTTTTTCTTTCAAAAAAAAAAAAACATGTTTTTTGAGTTTGCTAAAATTCTTTAAAGAGCGTACTTTAGACAAATTTAGTGGTCAGAAATTATATTAAGAAAAAAATGGAAAATAACAAATAAAACCAAATAAGTGCAAAACTATGATAATACATACTTCTATAAGTAGTATAAAATATATAATATTTTATTTTTGTGTTTATATATATATATATATATATTATCTATATGACCTTAATTAAGATATTTTATAGACTACATGTAAATGTAACTGATTCTATGATTTAGTGTACGAACAATGTATAATTATAACAAAAGATTTTTAAGAATTTTTTTTTTACTGTATTTGGAAATCATCACAGCAACGATTACTCATAAAAGAAAAAAGTAATTCCCCAAAAACTAGTTCGTTAATTGATTTGTGTAGTATTGGTTTTGTTTTGTAACCAATTTTTGGTTTTCTTACTTCTGAACTATACAACTGCTGGTCGCACTTCACATTCACCTTTACTTAGTCTATATTCAGCCATTTTTGTAATGCCGTGGTAATGGACAAATGCTGCCAAGATGACTAACACGTGGAATATCTGATGACTCTGAAACTGCAAGAGGAAAAAAAATGTTAATAACAATATTTAAAAATGTATGGAATAATAATGAACTACAAATAATCCTCCTACCAGTAAATCGCATTTTCCTGGGAAAAAACGTTCTGGTACACGTAATGCATATAATAAAGCTCCAGAAATATACAAAAATCCCATGAGAACCAACCATCCAAGACTGATCAACGTAAAGTTAGAGAAAAAGCCTTCAACAGCACCATAATGAAGGGCTGGAACAACTCCAATCATTCCGAAAGTGATAAATACTCCTAAAAACAAAATTAAACACTATCAATACATCTACAAAAATCATGATTTGTTCATTAAAACCATATAATAGCATCAATAATTTAAATTTGTAATATTTACAAATAATTTTTGGGGTTATTATTTTTATTATTATTACATTAAACAAATATTAAATAATGAAATAAATACAGTGTAAATAATTATACTGTTAAATGGGAAGATAATATTTCCTGTGAGATAAGGAGAATTAAAAAAAAGTCTCATGAAAATAAAACAAAATTATATGTGAAGATATAATTTTAATAACACCCAATTTGTAAATATTGCAGAGAAAAAATAAGCGTTTAACGTTATAAGTTGTGCCATATTATTAATATAATTTATTCATGCAAACCAATGCACATTTGTGTTGTAAAATATACCTGCTCTTAAGGGCCTCAAGCTAGGGTCGCTGAATTTATCCCACAGCGCTACCATCATTGAAATCAATCCCAAAGCAACGACTAGTATCAAATATAATATCCACGAATACGGCTCACAGTAAAACCCATAGTACAACCATGGCACAAATGAGCCCATAATCAATATGGCAATTCCACAATAATCCAATCTTAATTGATTTATAATATATTTTTAATCCATGTTTTTTTTAATGAGTACTAATAAATTTGTATTTACTTGCTGAAGAGTTTTCCAACCGTTTCTGAATGACAATGAACAGTATGGAAAACAAATGACAATCCCATACACGTAATAGCACCAATAAAGTATGTAATGAAAACAAATTTATCCTGGAATGACAATTCTTCCTCGGGTCTGGATGCAAAATATAGGGTCATCGCAAAAAAAGCAATGCAACCTAAATAGTTTTAAAATTATAAAACAAGCTACTATATATTTTATTTTGTACAAGCAAATATAGTTTTTATACCTAACAAGTGTGTCCATATATTTCCAGTTTCAGTATGAATTCGAAAAATTGACTGGAAACAAGCTTGAAAGGAGTTTAAAGGTGGCCTGTGACCAGTATGAAGAAAATCGTTGTCTTGAAGCCATTGAGGTAAGTTGTGGAAATGACAAACATTCCACATTTTACGTCCAAGATCTCTAGCTTGAGCAGCAACGTGTTGAAACTCAGCTTGTGCCATAGAGCTTATGTCCATACATTCATTCGTTTCGTTAGCTACAACCTAAAATATAAAAATATCTTTTACGAAAAACATTTAATTACTTAATCAAATAAATATAATGAATATTCTACAATACTCTTTAAAAATTTTATTTAAAAAAATTTAATTTTTAAATCCAATACTTAGCTAAAAAAATACTATATAATATAATATATTATATTAAGTTTTGAAAACGCAAAGTTTACGTCTTTCTGAATTGTAATTTTCAAGGAAAAAACTACTGCCCTTTAATTTTACTTATTTTCATGTTTATAAAACATATTTAGAAATTTAAATTAAAATCATTTTGATGGTAATACTGCCGAAGAATTTTAGCAATATTATTCTCCATCGATTGTTCTCACATACTTTTCGATAGTTAATTGCATTTGTATTTTTAGAGTAAGTAAATTAATTAATCAGCGAGACCCAGGAGAGAAATTACCTTCATATACCTATTTATTAATTAATATACAACTTAGAAGAATTATTAAACATTTATTTATTGGCTCTTCTGTTAAATTTTATAAACATCAGTTAAGCTTTTGGCAGTATCAACATAAATAATATATACTAATAAACCAACCACACGATGGTCCAATAAATTAGTTTTGTTACAACAATTGTTGTAAGATAACCATAAAAATGCAGAATATACACAATAGTTATAGTTTTAGTATAAAAACCGATAATATACATTTTTGCGTCTTAGATGTCATAGCTTTTTTGGACAAAAGAGTTGTCACAGAAAATTGCAATTAAGAGGCCTGTGAGGTTATAAATATAAAAACACTTAATTTGATTTTATAAGCATTTAATACTATTTTTTTAAACAAATGAGTAAGAACATTATATTAGGTGTACCAAAAATGTTATAAGCCTATAATTTTATTATATACCCTTAACCTAAGCATGCAATTCATACAAGTAGTATATTTTACTAACACATTATTTGATATTACAGAAAATTTAGATTGGACTGTTAGAATGTCATCAAGCAAAACATTAATTATTAAATTGTTGTTTTTTTTATAAAAGCATTTCCTTACGTCATCATTATTTTCATTTGAAACACCAGTTAATAAATCAGTTTTTTCAGCCAAACAATCTTCTGATTTCTGAAAAATTAACACAATTGGCATAAACATTAAACAAAGCATTGAGTTAGTTTAAAAAAATATATGTATGATGAGTGAAAAAATGCAATTAGTTAGTTACATTTCAAAAATTATTTTTAATTTTCAGGTTTCATGTTTAGATATGTTTAACCAGCGGATTGAACTGAGCCAATAGAAATTAAAATTTATGAGTAGTACATTATGTAGCTTTGTATAAATGTCTTAAAGCAATCTATACTATTATGCGACAGAAGACTTCCGATGTCATAGTTGTGTTAATTATTAGAAGTATCTTACACTTTTTAATTACACAACACAATATACACTATCTACATGAAACAAGCAGTTCTTTTTAAAATAATACTTTTGGTTTATTTGAAATAATATATGAAATAGATAAGCTATACTATTTATTTACCAATAAATGAACTCATTGTCATGGCTGAAAAAGTTACCATTGTAAATATAGTAACGTTAAGATAATTTTTTATTAAAATGCATCTTACCTAAGTGGTCATACCAAGTTAGAAAAGCAAAATGTTTTAGGGTGTTATATTTTTTTTACAAAAGCTGCTATATGTTCTTTTAGCTTAAATCTTAAGGTTTGTTCACACTATTGCACAGAAACCTCCAATTACGATACAGACACGTTACAATAACATACACATCAAAGAACCATCAAAATATGTATATAATGAAGATCACCAATCTGTTGCACAAATACGTTTGCAGTTTGCCATTAGCAAGTGAGAATAAAACTTTAGTACTTCTCTATAAGCCTCTAGTGTATGTATCATAAAATAATAATAAGAAATAAATGTAATAATGTAATTATGTTTTGTGGTGATCTAATATCTCAAAAACAATTTAACCAAATAAAATACATATAAATCTTTTTTTTATTCATGAAGTTTTAAGTTTCCTTTTAAAAATAATTAAAAACAAGTTACGAAAGCTCACTAAGCGAGCGTGCTAAATTTCTGGTTTTTAAATGTATTTAAAACTAAAAACTGTAAATAATAAAAATGTAAAAACAATTTGAGTAAACTAAAAATATAAATATTTCAAAACCAAACTAATAATATCTATATCCCTAGTAACTATCTCTCTTTTACGTTTAACGGACGTTATTCCCACCAATCGGGGCTTAGACAGTTTAGATTTGGCATTTTTGGGTTTAGAGCTGGCTGCCGACCTAACGCTACCAAACAAGTTGGCCCTAGAGAGAGGTGCAGGTAGCCATTTTTACCCAAGACAGTTGCCCGCCCGGAGGAACAAAGCGCCAGTGGCCGAGATTTAAACCGGCAACTGTGCGTTGCTACACTGCCGCCTTATCTTACTCCGCCACGCGCCTGCACATATCCCTAGTAACTATGAATAACAAAATATAAGGGAAATTGATTTTCAAATCAACAACCTCTATTATTTTAAATAAAGATATTGGTAAATCTTGACAATATATCAGTTGGACGAAGACAAGAATATAAGATGTCTAAACTTCCATTTAGAAACCTAAAAGCAAGTCTTTTTGGTTACAATTGTATAATTTAAAGATTATTTATAAATTTTTTAATAAAAACTAATTTTTTATACTTTTAATCAAAAAACAATTTTTATTACTAAGTATTATAACATTTATAATATTGTTGAAATCTCAGTCCGTAAAAACAAGTAGGTACAATGTTTTTGAGGAAAAATTAAAATTATTTTTCAAAACAATTTTATATTACCTAAAATAGATTAGAATTATATAAGTAACTAAATTTTCAACTACTATTTAAAAAAAAACTCTTTTTATGTTTTTTGGTAGACTTTAAATATTTAAAAAAATTTATACCTAGCTTTTCTCTCATACAAGTACTAGTTTAATATTTCTAATATTCAGCAAAAATTTAGATTTTTTAATTTTTTATTTTACAATTTACATTAAAAACATTATCAATGTATTTGATATAACATTCATCATACATAATCAACGTAATACTACTTACATTAGTTAAATCTGTCGAAGGTACTTTACGATGTCTTAAACTGCTATTTTTTTTTGACTCTGCTGTTGAAACAGAACTTTTTTCACCAGTATCATTTCCTTTGGCTGTAATAGTTTCAGTTTGCACGCTCTCAGACATTTTGTTTTCGGATTTTAAAAATCACTTATTTATCTGATAAATAAAAATAATATATATAGTTTCATTAAATGTAACAAATTGACAGTATGACATGTAACAATAAGTACCAAAAATTGTAATTATTTGCACTGTAACAAACAAGTTTTATTCTGGTTCTAACAAATGTTTTTCATTAACACGTCATTAGAGAAATGAAATAGTAAAAAGTAATAATGTGGATAGATTCGGGAGATAAAAGATGGCTGAAGAAGTTAACGAATGTTAATAATAATGAAGGCTGGCCAATGCATTTGTATGAAATAAAGTAAAAAAGAACCTAAAAATTAAATTAAAAAAAAAAGTTACTAACTATAAATGAATAGTTAAAAGGGGAATACAAAATAATTAAAACACACAATAGAATTCCCATGAAAATAAGTTAATTATAAAATAAAAACATATTCACTTAAAGTAATTAAACCTACCAATAATTTAATAAAATAATTAGCATATATTTTTGTTTAACCGCAAAATGGTATGTGCTTTCTTAGTACTATTCATCATACAAAATATTTCATTATATATATATAAATATATATATATATATATATATATATTACAAACTCATACCTATTGGTTAAAATTATGACTCAGAAAAACATGTCACTAGCCACCTGTTTATATATTCAATGCTAATATAGATGCTAGTTCGACAGATTTTAGCAAAACAATTTTACAAGTATCTAATACAGGTTACCTTGATTTTATACCAAGAAAATACTACCTATAATACTCTAATACATAATATTATAGTTTTTAATAAAACAATTATAAGAAATAAAACATTAATTAACTATCAAAAACGCACGTATTCTTTAAAAATGAAAAATATAAAATTTACATCCAGTGAAAAAACCAATGTCATACAGAGGGTAAATTTTTAAAAAAATTAAAATTTTAAATCAACAAGATTGAAATAATTTAGTTAACAAAATCATACTGACAAAAGTAAAACATTGTTATCTTTAGAGTTGGTAGTCAAATTGTCTTCTTCTGCTACTAAAAGCCTTGCCTTGTCGTAGCAGGAGATTTACCATCCTAAGGGAAGTGGGTATGGTGGTGTGGTGGTTTCCGGTTGCTTTCCGCACCAGTGTAATGGCCATTTCTCTCTCCAGATGGTTCCCCACCCAGCTAGAGAAACAGCCGGCGTTCGAGATTTGAACCATGGTTAGAGCGTAGAAGCCACAGTATTCATCTCAGCCACGACACTGCGACAGTTTATTTGTAATGATTTGATTATAAAATGTATAGAAGAATATACATTTAATTGAAGTTAAGTTGTAAAAAATACAATCCAATTAATATATTTCTATCAATTTTACATAGTACCTATTTGTAGACGATTGTGTTATCAAAGTACTGGTACAACCTTTCATATATTCTATAAGAGAAATAATAACCATTTTTTATATCTATTCATATTATGTTAATTATTCCAAATATTAATGCTTTAATTTTTTTTTATTTTCATAAATGGTACAATTGAAATACCAAACCCTTTTTATAAATACCATTACTTCATAATATAATTGGTTGATAATAAAATATACAGCAATTTTTGTTACGCTTATTAAAAATTGATTCTAAAATAATATTTTTAAAAGTATTACAATGAAATAATTAAAATGTTTACAGTCATAAATTACACGATGACCGTAAATGATGATGAATTAACACATTGATTATAATATGGTGTTTAACCGTGGATTCAAAATGTGTATTAATTATTGACATAAGAAAGTACTTAAAAAAACACATTACTAATAAAAATACTTAAAATGTGAGTTTGCTTGGTATGCTTTATAAAAATAATAATAATATTAATTGTACAATATCATTAAATAACTAAAATTCAAATAAAATTATTTACCAAAAATACTATACCATAATGGTAGTTTAATATTTTTCTAATATGTTAAGTACTTAAAAACTGATATTAATATTTTAGTTAAAAACATTTTGAGCAGGCAAATTTTTATCACGTAAATAGTAATACAATAATAATGTGGTCAAAATGTTTTATTAAATATTATCACTGGCTACCCATGGCTTATGTTGGTCATGATCAAACTACATGTTCTAATTAATAATTAATGAATTGAACAAAGAAGGTAATAGGCAATAGCTATAGGCTAGAGATAGAGTCCAATAACAATGAGCATCTATGCATACATGTTTTAGATAAAAGTAATCAATATATATATATATATTTATAGGTAGGTATTATTATCTTTAAAATTATATTATACTAAGTCCCGCACACAGGTATAACACATAACAATTTTCGTAGAGTAGAATGCGCATTACACTGAAACGACCCCAAAACCGAGGTCACACGGATAATCGTACATAAGCTAAACGAATGATTATTATAAAAACTAACCTGATGCTTTTGGTCTAGTAGAACGCAATCGTGTAATACCAAATTAACAACTCAAACAATGTTCACTAAAAATAACAACTTTTCGAATTCAATAACGACCGGACACGTTAAATACGGTTCTAGCATACACTCAACACGACCGCATGACAGCCAGACCAACACACAAACTAACGCATCAACACACGATACTATGACTGGTTTTGTTTCTACCTTTTACGTAATTACTAATTTCCGAAAATAATAATATACAAATCGAGTATAAAATATCACTGTAACATAATATTATTATTTCAAACGGGCGACGTACCAACAATAACAGCTATACAGCGGAAGCCTGTCCTGTTCTAAACGTCAATCGTCAGCGCAGTGTTGTTATCATCAGCCCGGCGGCGAACTTTTTGTAACTTGCGTCTTATACTGCGATCGGCGGGAGGGGAGGAAAAGTTAAAATTGTTATTAAATAATCAAAGAAACGCTAAACAATAACTACAGCAATTAAACGCGGCGCCACACGCGAACTTGGTAGTACAAAAAAAAACGAATAAATTATTGACTATTGAAGTTTAAGTTACGGAATACCGAATAAATCGGCAGTAAGTAGGTAATTAAAATTTATACCACGTTTGGTATTACCCGTACGCGTAATACCACCACAAAATCGGAGAAAGATACCACTTCCGAGCTGGCAATAGGTAATCAATTTATTGATATGAAAGAACCTACTGTGGCTAAAACAACACTTTTAACAGTCGCCAAGTGTACCGTACTACAATATACTATATAGTAGTGCCCTTAAAAAATGTTACGCAATAGGTACCGCTGTGTCGTGTGTGTACGCAAATCGTAATTCGTACTGCCGAGTTCCGACCGCGTCATAGAGATAAGAAGAATGATCCACTACAGCTGAGCCGATGGGCGGGGAACCAATGGAATCCTGGTTGCGGTACCGATGGACGGCTAGGAATACCTGTATTATTTATACCAGTTTTACGCGCGCTTTATTTAAATAAATAATAATATTGTGTCACATTTTCTCTACCTAAATTATTGCATTATTATTATGTATAATCTATTATGTACACTAGGTTTCATTAATACAAATATGCTCCAATCTAGCAAATCTTGTAATTTATCTGTTTTTCGTTTAACTCGTGATGTTAGTATGATATTTATATTAGATATTATTCTAAAATCAACCCTAGTGTCTATTACATTACAATAAATTACTTAATGTATTTGGTTTTAAAATAATGCATTATTTTCCTAGATGAGTGACGACCGTCCGCTAGTGACCATCAAAAATATATTAAGTACTCTCAATCAGCACACAAATTAAAATGTTATAAATATTTTTTGTAAGTATTTAATATTAAACGTTGTTTTTAAAAACATTAACATTTTAGTAGGAACTGGTGTAACAATTAATTGAAATTTTCATCTTAGGTTGTTACTTTTCCTAATTCATTTTAAGTATCGTATACTAAAATACTATAATAGTGAATATACTTCAAATCGTTTGCACCGCTGCTATATATATATACTTAAAAATTATTTACAGATAAATGTAAACTCAATACTGAAAAAATACAATTGAAAATAATCGCCTAAAGTTATATAGATAATAGGGAATAATTTGAAAAGTAGATAAACTGGTTTTCCGTTGCTACTTGAATTTAGGTTTTGTTTTTTAGTATTCAATAGTACTTGAGGAAAATGTTAACTCGACCTTCGTCCCACTGCACTGGCAAATGTTTATTACCGTCACTTATGAAATTACTTCTTATTTGTAATAGACAATAGTAATTAATTTTTATATAAATTTATATAATTTCCACATTTCCCATAATATTATAATTTAGCTAGCTTGGTAGATATATTGTACATAAAGCCTACTATATTATGCATGCGTTCTTACTTATTTACTTGAACACAAAAACAACGTTTTGCTTAATTATAAAAAAAAAAAATATTTTCACCAAAAATCATGAATGTTAATCAAATAAACCACAATAGTCATAACGACCTACAAATTATACTTTGTATGCTAATCTAAAAAAAATATTGTGATCTAGATGAGGCAAAAAAAATGTTTACGCACGATTTGTATGTGCCTTTATATATTTCATTTTGCATACTGCATTTACGTGAAAATATATGTAAATAATACTGGATATCCTTCATCGTGTAGTTTGACTGCAGGCGTATAAATAAAAAACAAAAATAAAACTAGTAGGTACCTACCAATAATGTGTCCTATAGCAGTGAATGAACGATGAATAGCGCAAAAGGGCAATTACCTACCGTCCCCGGCCTCTATATAAAATAATTGAATTTGTACTATTTAACATACCTGATACCATTATTAACTACGATTATCTATTTCAAATATCATTTGGAAACATGTATTGTGATAGAATAAGGCCATCAAGTTTAGTATACGACTTTACTAGCTACGCTAAATCGTAATATGTTCGTTACTTACGACACAGAAAAAAAATACATAGTTGGTTTAAATAAAATTATGGTTAACATAGGAACACATTACATTTCTAGTTGGAATAACTAAATAAATAGTCGGGCCAATTACCTACCTATTTATTTAGTTATTCCAACTAGAAATGAATTGTGTCCTTTTATTAACCGTAATTTTAGTTGGACCAACCAAGTATTTTTTCCCGTGTTAGTTAAATAACCAGTATATTAAATATAAAATAGGGAAATTGTTTGTTCCTTAATTTTTAATTAAAAAAAAATACAGTTATACAATATACAGAGGGTTTACTGATTAGTTAACTATGACACAGTCAATGTCTTAAAATTATTCTTTTTCGTACTTTTATAGTTATTAGCATTGATTATAAATTACTATAGAGACTAGAGTATAGATTGCTCATTGAGACAAATTTTAGTTCTTGTCACGAACATCAACTTTAAACATTTTGGCCAAATAGAGTATGCCAATAGTGTATAAAATGTCTGATCTACAGGTTGATTTATTAAGGATAAGTCAACCATTTTCTCCTAAAATGCTTGATATTGTGTAGTTGTTATTTATGGAGAAACTATGATATAGATTATAGTTATTGTTATTTTGAGTAGTAGTCAGTATTCATTTTACCTATAACTATTCTCATTTATATCAGTTACAAATTGTATTTTTTAAAACGATACCCTGTATAGACATTTTTTATTAAAATTACCTTCAGTACAATGATGATACATTTTTGATAAAGTTAGTTCACAAACAATAAAAATATAATATTATTATAATTCAATTTTATGATGAAAAAATGTATAGCATTTTGTTTTTTCCCATGAATATTCATGGAAAATAACATTCTCATAATAAGATTATTAAAAGAAAAACAATTTGACATAATGAACTGCAAGTAGTTGACTATATTATTTAATACAATAAACATTTTAGGTGATTTTTAAAGTAACAATATTGTATAAAGTATTTAATCCGATTTGTATGAGTTCGAAATTATAATATTAACAACAAATTAGATTAATAAAATTAATTACAAATTGTCTTACCAGTTATCAAACAATATGTATGCATTATTACTATTGTATTAAATTTAATTAATTTTTATAATAGTTAAAAAATAACCGCTCTCGCCAAAAGTTGTCATAACTAGATGTATACATTTTTATATACTAGCAAGTTTTTCCTTCTAATTAACACTAATTAAGCGAATAGCATTCATTTTATATTATAATAGTTATTTTTGTAAAGAAACCCAATAAATGACACATTAAAAAAGTATTGCTTTTTTATTCTTAATTTATTTTGTATAAAGTAAAACTCCATTAGTTTTCATAACTTATAATAAAAAAAATCCGAAAATCATAATTTTTTTAGTTTTAACACTTTTACACTGATTGGGGTGCATACAAATATAATTATAATAGTTAAATAATGTCACTCTCATCATACTACAGGAAGCATTACATATGTATCTAGATTTAACTAGATAATTAAAACTTAATAAATCAGATTAAAATTGAAACCACACTAATAATGTATCGATAACGTTAATAATAATGTAGACAAATAAATAATGAAAATGTGAAGGATTGTATGTGCAAAATAAACTATAACATACATTAAGATTAACATGGATATATGATAAAATTATATTACTTATTAACGTTAAAATACATATATAAACAATTCTTCTATGTATAATATTTTACTTTATCTCTTTTTTAAAGTTACTTAATAGTCTAATATATTTATTATTATAAAATAATTTTATCTGAGTCAGCATTTAAATTCCCATCGGACAAATTAGACTCCACAAACTATTGGCAGTATCGACTGGTTAAAGAGTTTCAAACACTCTTTACAGGTCAAAAACAACATCATTATAAACTTTCAAGGTCCCCACCTAAGTTTGTACATTTTTTAATTTTGTATTTACACCTTAATTAAAAACGTCTAGAGGTAACAGAAATTATAAATACAAAAGTATATTCCATATAAATAAATTATAATATTTGTATAATGCCATTCAAATTAAGAGAAGATATTTTATAATACATTGACAATATTCTTTAACTACAAAAGAATATAGTAATAAACATATTAAGTAATAACTAATAATTAATAATAGATATATATTATACCAAATCATATACCCAAGATAATATTATTAAAAAATAAAAACATGAAATATTTAAACAATAATTAAAAACATTTTGCAGTTATTAGATTACAAATAAAAATATTATAAATAGTAAAAATAGTATATTAATAATGACAATGAATAGATTATATATTTGTTTCTAATATTAAAATAGTACGTAATATAATAAGTGTTAAATACACATTGACAAGAACTCATATAATAAAGCTAGTAAAGGTTGAAATTTGAATAAAAAAATTATGATATTATAATAATAAATCATCCACTACATTAAATATTTTAGTAAAAATGATTAAATATTACATAAGTACACTTAGGTAAATATACAATATATTAAACTAACACAATTTTCTAAATACACTAGAATATAAGAACATCACAGAGTCTTTAAACAATAACATAGTAAAAATTCTAAAAAAAATAACTACTATTATTAGTAAAACCTAATTAAGTGAAAAATAATGCTCACGTAATTACAGTTGGTGCATTACGCCCTGTAAATTGTGGCAATTTTGATATTTCCAATGCAATCTAAATACAAAAAAAAATGTATTTGTTATAAATTAAAATTAAAAATAAATTATTTCTGTTTATTAGAGATTATTTAACAATCAATCACACACACACACACACTACATACATATATATGTCAAATATGTTAATTTCACTAGTTTAATTACTTGAACAAGAGGCTTTAGAGCTACTTGAGCATCTTCTAAGATGTTTGAAGACGGAGGTTCATATGATTCAGCATACAAACGAATAGTAGCACCACTACTACCAGTACCGCTTAAACGAAAAACAAATCTGGATCCATCCTCAAATAATACTCTTATACCCTAAAATTGGTACGTAATAAAATAAAACAATAAACTAAATTGTATAAATTCCTAAACATACTTGTTTAATTGTAACACTTTTGTCAATTGGATCACAATATTCAAAATTATCAGCTTGTTTAAGTATGTAAACTTTTTGGCCAGATGTAAATTTCTGACCTATGACTGAAGGATCAGTAACATTTTTCTCTAAATCTACCATCATTTGGTTACATGGTTCCGATTCACAATTTTCATAATCATATCTAGTGAAATAATTCCGACCAAATGTTTTCCAGTGTTTGGTGAGAATTGTCTCAACAGATTCATTTACATTAGCAATTACAGAAAGCCAAGCTAATACAGCCCATATTCCATCTTTCTCACGAATATGATCAGATCCAGTTCTATAAAAAATACATTTTTTTTTTACAATAATACATATAAAATATGTATTTATAGTTATAAATAAAATAAAGAAAGTGTTGGTAATCAACCAAAAGTTGATACACTAAATTACTAAATTGTGTTTTAATTACCCAAAACTTTCTTCGCCACAAAGTGATAAGCGACCAACGTCCATTAAATTACCAAAGAATTTCCAACCTGTTGGGACTTCAAAAAGTTCTTTTCCTAACTTTGCCGCCACTCTAAAATTATGATTCAACTATTATTACAAAATTCTTTAATTAATGACATAAAACATATAGATACCTATCAATCGCTGCTCCTGTTGGCATACTTCTTGCAAACCCTTTAACACCATTTTTTATGAAATAAGGAATACAATCTAAATTATTAGCTAGAACTGCTAATGAATCACTTGGATTTATGAAAAATGCTTTTTTTCCAAGAATCATGTTTCGATCCTGAAATAAAATATGTTATGCGTTAAAAAAATGATTAAGTTTTTTTGCTACCATTAGTCAAGCTGTTGCTTATAAATTTAAGTTAACTTGAGCAATGACAAATAAACCATTTGACAATGTGATAGTAATATAATGAAATTTGGAGAGGGAAAGAAAACTTGCGTTTTTAAGATATCCTAAAGACCTTTATTTAACTTTCTGGTATACAGTAATCATATTAAAACAGCACACTGAGCATATACTGTATTTATTTTAACGTATACATATAGCACATTAAGTTAATTAAATAATAATAATCTTACACCATCCCCATCAAAAGCCGCTCCTAGATCATACGTCCCATTCTGTAATGCTTTCACTAATGCATCTGCATAGGTAAGATTTGGATCAGGATGAAGGCCACCAAAGTCTGATAACGGTATAATGTTAACAGCGTTATTTGAGGGTGCACCTAACTCATCTATAAAAATTTTCTTCACATAAGGACCAGTAACTGAAAATAAATTTGACTGTAGAAAAAACAAATTACAAATCCAACATAAATAAAAATAAAAAAAATACCTACCTCCATTCATAGAGTCAATAAGTATATTAAAAGGGGGTTTATTATCTGAACCTTTAATGAGTTTACGAATTGCATCAAAATCAAAAATGCTTTTCATCAACTGTAGATAATCTGAAACTGGATCAATAACTTCAACTTCGAATTCTTTATCATCAACCTAATAAGATAAATAATTTAACAATTATAGTAATTATTACACATTTTTTGGAAAATGTCTTGTACAATTCATACTTTAAAATATTGATGGCCACAATAGTCGATCGAACATTTTAAATCTGGAATAATCTTGTATGAAGTGATAGTTTTCGATAACTCATATATAGCATTGGTAACTGATTCTGGGGCTGGACCTTTATTTAAATAAAAAATAAATAATTAACATTAATTTGACATAACGTAACCACATAGACTTAGTTTTACCTCCATTAGATGTATTATATTTAATACCAAAATCATTGTTTGGGCCACCAGGGTTATGACTGGCAGTAAGGACAATACCACCTGTTGCTTTATATTTTCGAATTATACACGATACAGCTGGTGTTGAAAGAATGCTTTTGAGTCCAACTATTAATTTCTTTACCTGAAACAAGAAAAGCAAATTATACCATTAATAAGTTGGTTAACTGTAAAGTTATTACAAATATAAAATACTAATAGATAACATTTTTTCATTAGTCACCAACAATAGAGCATAGGCGCAAAAGAGGTTTTTAATGTTTAACCTACCCCTTTATTCGTGCTACTGAACAAGTGTCTTCCACAATTATAATGGTTTTCATTTTGGTGGTCTTTTATGTACTTAGTTTCTAATAAAGGTAATTCTAGATTTCAGCTTAATCATAAAATGCATAGGTAGGTATTAGATATATAAAATAATTTTGAGAACCAATAACAATGATTCGAATTACATTTAAGAAACCCTTATTAATCCTACAATAATAATAATGTTATAAAAATATTAAGTTGGTAGGCACCTAGGTATAATAAAGATAAAAAACAAGTACTATATTAATATTATGACATGGGCAAGGGAACTTAAATCAACAATTATTGATGGTAAACCCGTTGGTAAAAATACTCTTGGAAAAGATAAGATAATATATTATAATATTATGCACATAACACTGCACGTACCCCATTGGCAGCAGCTATCTTAATGATCAAATCTACGACTTCAGGCCCGTAATACCGCCCGTCACCGCCGACCACTAACGTACTACCGACTGCCGATGGCTGAACGGCGCTAAGTATGGCTTGAACGAAATTTTCCGTGTAGTTTTGTTGTTGGAAAACTTTGACGGCTTTACGGAGACCACTGGTGCCGGGTTTTTGACCGTCGTAGGGTTTTGTTTCTATTTGCACAATATTCATGACGGACGATGTGAAGCCAAAGTACAGCGTCTGAATGAAAGTCAAGTAGGTAGGGATATTATGACGTAAAGTACGACTTAAGAACAGACCAACTCGCAGTACCCACAATAATATTATGTTATAGAATATACTAGACTGCTAGTACTATAATAAATATAATAAAACGTCGATCACTAATGGAAGTTCGAGTGGAATTGAAAATGAACTAATAAGGTAGGTAACTGCGTGAACGAGGCCGGCGGCAAATCAGGACGAAAAATCACAGCTGACTACGGAGTACGGACTACGGACTGAGAAACATGCATTATGCATACGGCACATACATTCAAACTGTTATAACTGGCCAACACCAGTGGATTTTGTCTTCAAGGTCAGCTCAAACTTAACGCATGCGTGTTTGCCAACTATTTGCCGGCCAGCCGTTACGTCATATGACATATCTACGAGCCGCAAACGCCACGCCGGCCGCCGCACGTCAAACACCAAAGTTGTTTTCAGTTCAAATTATACTTAAAACAATATCATATTTGAGGGTATATATAATCTATAATAAAATATAATAATAATTTTACAACGAAGTTGTAGGTATTAGATAAAAAACTAATAGAGTATGCCGAGTGCACCGTGTCATGACTATTTTAAATATCTAGGTATATTCAAGTCACACTTATTACAAAAAAAGGCCTGTTCTAAATTACTTGAAATTATAACAGTAGATAAAATATCAATTATATAATGACACTAATTATTTGTCCCGGTGCTTAAAAGGATTTCGTTATTATAAAAAAAGCCCTGTTCTAAATTACCTGAAATTATATCAGTAGATAAAATATAAATTATATAATAACACTAATTATTTGTCCCGGTGCTTAAAAGGATTTCGTTTATAATACGTACGAACTCTCATTCAAACTTTTGGAATGTGAACGCCTGTATCTTGTAACAAACTAACTTTTCTTTCGTTTTTCGTTTATCACATAAAAAAAAATGTTTTTTTTTATACACTAGATATATGTTATACACCAAAAAAATTCGATTTTAGAAATATTATTTTTATCTTGGGCGTAGCTTGGAACTAATTTGATTCTTCAACTTTGGACCAAGAACTGAACTAAACTTTTTTTTTTTTTGAAAAAACTTCCCAAGCACTGATTTGTCTTTAAATAGTATGATATGAATTTCTAAGGATAGGTACTTTTAAAAATAGTTTTTTTTACAATGAAATTTATAATACAAAAATATTAATTTGCTAAAACTAAATTTACGTAACTTATAAGAAAAAAGAACAATATTTTTTTTTCATATCACATATATGTTCGTTTAGTTGTCATAATACAATCTTACTTAATCAATTTTTTATTACACAACCTAGATGATATATATATATATAATATTTTACACAGCGCTAATAATAAAAATAAATGTACCTATAAGTTTTATTAAAATCTTAACGCATTATCTATGGCCTAAACAGTGCTCAGAAGGGCTTTGCTTTCAATTGATTTCATTCAAATTTTATAGATTCAAATTCCTTTATTATGTGAAGGAACTTAATTATAATTTTGTACTGAACGTTATTCGTCTGTTTCTTTGTAGGTACTAGAAAAGTAACTAGTTTAAATCTTTAACCTTGGAACGAGAACTTGGTTTGTTTTTTTTTTGCAAAGTAAAGTGAACATCAACGAGGAAGAGAGACGAGTAGCCGAGTAGTTCAGCGGTCAGTGTGTTTGACGCATGTTGTCGCTGGTTCGACATTCAGTCACAGGCGCTTAGTTTGCCGGTCGAAAAGTCGTCTGGTGAAAAGGATCCCCTATCCCCCTATCCCCCCTTTCCGGTGATGAAATCCGGGATTGAAAACCCTTCCCGAATAGCGAATCCGTCAGGAAACCTCCTCCCTTAGAGGGGAAAGCGAATAGCGATATCTCAACATGGACTGCTTAAGCTGTTTCGAAAATTAACATGAACTTATTTCTTCTTCCAAGGAACTGTCCAAGCACTGAATGGAGTTTATAAAAAATTAATGATGCATTTTTAAACCATCTAAAAATCAAAATAATCATAAATCAAAATAGACTATATTATTAATAGTATTAATTAATTCCTCTATGCATGTATAACTCAGATAACTAGCCAATAATTAAAAAACATAATTATGTTGGTATCAGGTATGTAATACTAATATTTCTCATTATTATTTTTGACCTTGTATTTATTATTATTCTTATAGCAAAATCGAGAGTTTTTAGTTTTTCTGGAGAATTAATACACCAATTAAACAATTTATAATTTATAAATAAATATTACATCCCAACTAGGTGCGTATTTCTTCGTCAAATTACGTACTATCGAGTTTCACAAAATATATACCTCATAATCCCAAAACCTAACCTCTTACTGCTTACATGAATATTTTTCTATTTATAGATCTTCACTTTTTAAGTACCGTGTTTCCTTTTCAATCTTCCTTACTCTAAAACTAGTCACTACTATCATATCAAACCGCTATAATAAACTTCCTACATTACGAAAACAGTAAATAGCAACCTCTGTTAAATTTATGTTAAACACTAAAACAAATTGATAACTTTTACGAATTTTTCACACTTAATAACTTGTTTTTTCCGATAAAGTTAAATAAGCTAAACGACCTACGAGTCCAACGATCTACGCAATAACAATATCAAAGTACAAGCCAACTGTATAGATATTATTTACCTGCAATTTTATTTAACCGCTGAATGGAATTTGGAATCAATTATGTAGCTATAAAATAGTATTGATAACAATTGATCTTTGAATATACAACTGTAAACCGATGGGATCACAGTCTACACAGAGATACAAATTATCAACTTGTTTTTAATAATCATTTTTTATGGTTGAACAAATTTAAATTACACAAAAACAAATTATTTTTCTGATCTTTATTAAAAATATTGTGGTTATTATTGTTGTTCCAGTTTGTACCTATGGGTGCCTTAGTGTGTAATTTTAAAAAACCAATAAACGTTAGACACAATTAGCACCTATTGGTAACGTGCTACTTATGTTACTATTTAGCTAAATATATTTAATTTATTGTTAAGTGGGAATTAAAAATAATTTATAATTGTTTATTGAATCTACTTAAATCATGTTGGATTAGAAACAAGACTGCATGTATACTCTTCAAACATATACTCTACAGCGTACTTAGATAAAAACCCAAGATATCATACAAGTCGATATCTACATAGGCAATTGAACAATTTTACAACTTTCAATCTACAATAAAATAGTGCAATGCACTAATTGAAATGTGTACCTACTTAACATACATAATATGTATATAATTTAAATATTATGTTAAGAAAACAAATGTGAAAAATCACATTATTCAAGCGTACTTATTTTACGTGTGTTCGAATTGTGCCAATTGAGTGTATAACAAAATAAAAACTGAATTTAATGTTTATTTATTTAAATTACAATCGCAGTTATTAACAAAAGTACTAAAATTTTGTCAGTAACTAAAAATCATGATGGAAATAAAAACGCCTGTTTAATAAACTTTATTATTCTTTAAATATGAATATGTAATTTTTTAATTGCAATTTGCAATAAAGTATTACACATAAATAGCCGAACGCCGAACACGTTTACATATTAGAATAATATTGTAGGCATATAGTTAAAGTGCCGTTTACAAACAAATAGGCATCCAAACTTACACAAACGTACAAACGTATTGCGTAGTCAGTAGCCTATTCAAAGAAAACGTAAAGGAGTAACTAAAGTCATTTTTTAAGAAAAAAGTTTTTCTCTAAAAAAAAAGGATTGGCATCCGATAATAATAAATGTAAAGAAATTGGATATAAAACCAGAAATTCAAATTATCATTAGTATAGACAAAAATAAAATAGTAGATTGATGGGTAATCAATACAATAAGGACGTATCATAATAGATTTCATTTATTCTGTAGTTGTCGGTTGGGCTTTAAAAGTCCACATTTTTTATACTTTATTGAACATGCTAAATTTAGGTTACCATATTAAACATAATGAACTTATCAAACGTATTAAACATGTCTATTGCAAATGCATTAAACATTTTTTTTTTACATTTTAAAAAATAGTGCGGGCCTTCTTTCGTGGGCCGGAGTAGGTACTAGGTATAGTTTATAAATAATTTATCTAATAAAAATCAAACACCTTGAAAATTGAACCATCTGTCTTAACTCTGTAGATATGTATAATTAATATTGCTTAGGTGCTTTGATTGGTATCCGTATGGATGTGTGGCTATTTTCAAAAATAACATGGTTCTAGTTTTGGCATATTACCCCTGAAAAAAACAACTCGATAAATACAGATTTTCCGCCCTCCCTCCGCCTCCTGTACCTCTGAAAATTACCATTTGGGCTTCTATGTGTTTATTACTGCTGTATGTTTGTAAATTATTTATAGAAATGTGTTTATAATGTTCTATTGTTTTAACGGTCAATGGCCGATTATAAAACGTATGACGCGTATCGTACCTACCTATTTATTTTTAAACCTAGCAGCACCAAATTTACTCAAAGCTTAAAAAAATATGTTATCACAGATTACATATAATTTTCTTTTAGTAGTGATAATATTATGATTTGAGGCTTGAGCACGTCTACACGAAAATGTCTTATTCGTTAAATTTATTGTTTGCTTGTAGGTATGTAAGTATATGATATGGATCCTGGGTCTTTTCGATCGTCAATCATGACGTTTAAATAAATAAATTATAATATACCTATTTTAACTACCTCTTTATTTTTATTCACACTTCAAAAGATAACAGTTTTAAAAATAGCAACGAATATTAATTAGGCATAGACCATGTATTAATAGTTGAGTTAAATTACATCATACACGTACTTGGTCGTTTTATAATTAGTATCTTTTACCTACATAACGTGCGTAAGTAAGAAATAATAATTGTTCCATTTATTTTATTTTATATTATATTTATATATTTTTATTTATTTAATTGAAATGATTATGTGTCTCGATATTACAAAAATAAATAGTACTTTATATATACATTTATACTTAAAGTTTATGATATCCCTAACGATATTAGTTGATTATAGGTAATAGCCAATAGGTATACAATTATTAAGCCAATAATCAATAGTACCTGTAGGCTGTAGCTACTGTCAACTATGATTTAATTCTTAATTAATAACGAACTTTAGTTTTTTTTAACACCTTTAAAAATCTAATAATTAAATCTTGTTTCGCGCTTTTGGCGGATCTGTTCTAGAAATTTGTTTTCGAAGTTCGATTATTTAAAACCTATATCATCCTACTTTTTAAACACTCCAAGGATACATTACTGATTACATGCGGCAAATTCACTAGCTTCTTGCCTGCGTATTCACTCGTTGCTACCAACCAAACTCGCTTAATGTAATTTTTTAGCGAGTAAAGTTGAAATCCGATAAACGTTACTAGCTGGAGAGTGTAATCGTCATGGTAGTAAAATGCTAGTAAAATTGCTGCGTGTAGTGACATAAAATTACTGTGCTACCCAGCTGATGAGCGAGTGAGCGAGTTGATACTAGTTATTACTCCTGTAATTTAGTTATTCGTAGTAAAATATATTGTTATCGACACTCGCTTAGAATTCAAACACGCTTACTTACGCTCGTCTAGCGTAAACCCCGCTTAACGCTTATAAACTTTCCGCTATTATAGTGTTTAGAAATTGCGAAAACCATTACTTATTTTTATCTACAATGCACTTTTCAGCTAAGGCTGAATGAGGTAAAAACCAAAATTATTGTGGACGTATTATTTTAGCGCCTCGAGAAGAAAATTAATGATTTCCATGTGTTTTTTTTTTACAAAATTTCCTTCTAACCATTTAATGATGAATGAATATTATCTTTTTTCATTATATCCCAAAACCTATCAGTAATATTATGTATTAACCACAGTCCCTATGTTTGTCAATTGTTGGTCGCTAAATCAATTTACAATGAACTTAATATCCAAAATTTACTATGGAGTAGTAATGATTTGACGAGTACTTCATTCGGTTATAAAACTTAGTAGTTAGTACTAAAAAATGTATATGATTCATTAAAACACTAAAAATTCAACATATCTAATAACAATAAAAATATGCAAAATAACACAATAATTAATATCTATATCATATTTTTTTAAAAATTGTACGTGATGACCGTTATCTTTATAATTATAAATAATGAGAATAACAAACGAAACTAATATGAATTTGAGCACAAAATGGAAAAAATGCATCATTAGGTAATATTATTTACAAGGGCGCCACTGGGGAGGGGAGGCTAGAGGGGCTTAGGCCTTTCCCAAAAATGTGTGATTATATGATGGAGAGCTGACCCAATAAGTTATTTTTAGTGCACAGTTTTGGCGAGGGCTGTAGTCCCCTAAAATTTTAACCCTAGTTGCGCCTATGATTGTTAAATAATAAATATAAATATTAAAACTTATCTGTATATTATTAATTATTATGTTAACTATAATATAGTATTAACAAACGTATAAATATTCCAAATTATTAAAATATCCGGGATGCCATCAGGAATCCCTTTTTAGAAAAATAAAAGATAAAAAATATTATTTATCTTGCATATAGGATGTCAGTTGAATTTAGAAACCGACCTCTGAGCTAATTGAATACCTGATACATTCAGGTACTTTTATTTTTAACGTGGTTAACAGATTATCGCTTACTTAAATAAAAAAAAACGAGTGAAATTTTACTGTGATGTTAACATGTTACTGTACACGTAAGTATATTTATTATTAAACGAAACATTTTAATTGTGCCTTTGTTTGAATATTACCTTGATTTCAAGGTCTCGCTCAGCCTTAACACAGACTGCATTACTGTACGAAATGGTCCATCAAGAAAATGCGAAAATGCTGCTCCTGTTCGGATGTCTATTAGCTTTTAACGAAAACCAAAAAACACCACACGCCACGCAAACTAAAGTAGGCTACCAGCTCAAGGTGAGTAGGGTGGAAGGTCATTGTTGATATCGATAAACATGAATAACATTAAATCGTCTAATGGGCTATGTATGCGTACAGAGAAAATGACCATAATATCTATTGGAAGAGTCGCAGTATACACGCTGGATTCGCCATCCACGTGCTCACAAATCAAATTTAAAGTTTTTCTAAATGTCGTGAATTCTCTACATTTTGTTCAACTTCCGTCGTTTTGGTGAACATGTTGTTTTAAAGCCCGTATTTTAACCAAGCGAAATGGGTCGAGTGGCGAGAAAACTATCAAAAAAGAGCAACAGGCCTCGGGCCAAATCCATGTTCACGGCTACAGAGTTAGAAATTCAGCCTTTATTGAGTTCAGACATAAGCAGAACGAGTTTGGCGTATGTAAATTATTTTTCAATTATTAAAAATCAAAATATATATATATATTTTACATTTGTGTAGGGAAAACGGATTTATATTTAAGTATGACTCCGAAACAAGCGATGTAGAGAATGCCAAAAATACTATTCACACTACTACTTCACCGAAAGCTAATGAGCTATTATATCCATATTACCTGAGGTACCTATATTCTATACATTTAAAATAAAGTCTTTGCAAAATTATATTCTTAAAAATTTGTCGACTACCAAAACACACTTTAAATATTAACCTCTAAAATTTTTGGTGACGATGCTGTAATCTTATAAGAAACACATTAGTCCTAGTTTTCATATTGCATTTTATTCGTAAGCTAACTTTAATCAATTTAATGTATAGGGTAGGGATACTTATTACATATGTATATTAATATTTCTAGGTCGTTTAGCTTAGACTACGATATTGTTAACAGACCGAAATTTTATCGCAAACTACAACCTTATATACCACTAGGAGATACAGTGAGTTTAAATTTCAAATATATTTTGAATAAACATATTATATAAATTATTTTATGTTACGATAATTTAGTTATATAGATAAGTATCATAGAAAAAAAAATAATACAGAATCTGTTAAAAATAGATAAACATAATTTACTGTACCAAATAATATCAGTTAACACACGTTAGTGTTATCGAGATCGAAGTACAAAATTATACCATTTTTAATATGTACGTATAGTTTATTAAGAACTTATTGCATATTGATCAATGTTACTCTTCGGGGAATTATTATCTATATAGGTACATCAGTTATATTTATTTAATACAAATTAGTTGATTTTTGTACAACTAGTATACTTTTAAGTCATAGGCGGATATTTGATTAATTTTTTGGGGGGGGGCTAGTAATTTTTTACCTAAAAATTAAAATGACCCGCAAGGGTTTCACACCCCCAAATTCTTAATATCTAATATTAATTAACATTACAACAGTATAAATAAAAACCATAATAATTATTATACAATATTTTTACATTATTTTTAAAGTAAATACATTATAACAAATTAGTTTGATGAGTGATCAATCAATTTGGGAGGAGGGGCTTTTAATAGTTTTTTTTTGGGGGGGGGGGCTAAGCCCCACGATAGTAATCATAGTAATAATAATAAATAATTTAATACGATTGTATTTAATAATTAATACTAAAATTGTAGATAAACTTTTTGAAATTTCAGATTACAACAGAACCATACACTCAAAATAGTTTAGTTACTATGTAAGTATTCAAATATTATTATTTACAAATGAAAACTATGATATTTATCTAATGTTATTTGAATAACAATAGACAACTGTATTTCTTAATAGGTAGGTATACAAAATGCCAAGTCTTGAATTGGGTTCTTATTAATTTTTAAAATTTTAATCGACGAAAAAAATGTTGATCGAGATTAAATTCTGCGCTATTTTAAGGAAAGAACAGATTACTTTTTCTTGTTTAAATTCGCGTTATTTGTTAATACAAAATAGTTAAGAGTTTTCACTTTTCTGTATTAGGAGTGAAATGTACCTACACGTGGGTTTCCACGATTTTATTAACAAAATACCTACTTATTAAGTTTAAGCTTAAAAAACGTATGTAACAAAAAATTACCTCATAACATTCGCTTGACAACTAGATCTTGTTTTCCAAATCAGTGTGTTTAGCAATAAAAAATTGTTGATGTTGGTGAGAGCGGCTGCTAGGTAGTCGCACGACCGGCGACCGGCCGGCTCTGATAAATGACAGGCGACCTAACGCAAGTTTTGGTGTAGCAGCGGTGGCGGCTACGGCTGCCTTCGCCGTTAGCTCGAGGGGGTTTATTGATCATAGCACACCCCCAAATCCCGTTGAGAGTCTGGGGTCGTTGCACCATGCAAACGTCGCCGTTGCCGCTAGTTCAACGTCCCGGTTAAACAACCCTAGTCTGGGGGCTCAGCTAAACTCAGACAGATAATAGTCCGTTTTCTTGCTCCTATTAACTAATGCAACTAAAAAAGCTTTTTCAAATTATAACTAGTATGCTTACCACTGAGTATATTTTGTATACTCCGGTGTAACTATAAGGTTTATTAAATAACCATGGCATTAATAAACCTCACAGGATAAGGGTTAAAAATATTAAGTCCCCAGGCAGGACAGGATCGCAAATATTTAGGATAAGTACAACCATTTTCATAACGCAATTTCTACCATCACTTTATTTACTTATTAATTATCAATTACGTTAATTTTATTTATCGTATTTTGAGGGAGGAAGCGAATAATTTATAAAAAAAAATTATGTTTCAACAAACTTAAGTAAGTTATATATAGTTATTTTATATTGATAACTTATTGCTTACATTTTTACAAAATGGTTAAATTCATATTTTACAATCTTACGTTTAATAAGCTTGGACTTAAGACACATTAATTTGAACATTTATATTACACAGTAATATTTTATACCTAATGTTAGGGTTAGATTTTTTTAAAATTCGCATTTAAAAAAATATTGATCCAACACTTGTCTATTTTTAAGTTTTGAAAATATTAATCGACCGATGTTTGAGTAGAAATAATATGTATGTAACAAATTAGTTAACGATCAATACTAAAAGAAGAAATCGTATTTATTTTTGAATTTTTAATAACTTTCCAAGCAACTATGTTTAAATATACACATAAAATGAGTATTTATACAAATTTTTATGGATACAAAAACTTTTTTGTGGAAATTATTTAAACTAAAAATAACATTTTCAATAAATATATATGTGGCCATTCCCGTCGTTTGACTTTTAATGGACTCGACAATGACTTACCAGAATCTAGATTGTAATACAATTTTGAACAAAACCATAGATGATGAAAGTATAATTTCATATATCATCTGTTTAGATTTGCAATATGGAACACGATAATGGGTACATCGCTACTAGCGATGCCTTGGAGTGTAGAGCGGGCAGGACTCGTGATGGGACTGATACTCATGTTCGCCATAGCAGGACTCTGTTTGTATACATCCAATCGTATTTTAAGTGTACAAGTACTTCACGGTAAGAGTAGTAGAAAATGTCAACAATTTCCATAATGTATCTATGAATGTAACATTTATTTAGGAAATGAATCGGGCGAAGTAGCTCAACTCAGCAAAAAGTTACTGGGCCCTTGGGCAGAAGTCATAGCCAAACTGTTCTCGTTTATGATTCTTCTTGGCGCTAACATTGTTTATTGGATATTAATGTCCAATTTCCTATACTACTCAGTCGGTTATTTTCACGGTGAGAAATCATAGAAATATTATTATTTGGATCTGGGAGCAAAAAAAAATATTTTCTTAGGTAGATTTATTTTTTTGCAGATTTACTATTTGCAGACGAAAACACGGCGGCTTTCGAATTTAACAGTACCAATCGTAAGTATATTAAAAAGGTAATATGTTATTATAACCATAATTAATTTACATGGCGTGTTTGTTATATTTCTTGACAGTGTTATGTCCAAATGACCCCGATTATTCGACGTCTTCAAGCAACTCGACCAGGCCGTTCAGTCTGTATGAAAAGGTGTGGAATCTAAATACGACCGTACCTATTTTCCTCGTTATAATCGTTGCTCCTCTCTTGAACTTCCGGTCGGCTACGTTTTTTACAAAGTTCAACTCTTTAGGTAAGTACCGAGTACCATCCTCCTTTTAGGCGACCGAACTAGGCCTACCTACTCTTGGTCAATAATAATAACTATACGCAATAATAATAATAAGTATCGAGTACTTTAATCGTTAATGCGATAGTGTTCGGGAAAAACTGGTTAAGTATACAATTTTCAAAAACGAGTTTATGTCATATCTAGGTTCAGAAAAATTATACGATTTTTGTGTAAAATTATCTAAGTCATACAACGATTTTACCAGTTGTTATACCTTAGTAAATTTTTATTTTTACACTATATGGTACATTTTTTTAATTTTCTAATTTAAATACTGAACATTTTAAAATTTAGACTTACCACGTTTTTCCCGAGCACCGTCGAATGAACCACAGCTAGAGATACTACAACTAGCAATATGTATCTTCGTCTTAACGTTGCCCCTTACAAATCTACAAATCTTCTCCACAAATCCATGGCCATTTTTTTACTCTAATCTATACACTGCTTTGTCGGTATACTTTTATACTAATTACTAACTCTATCTTACAATGGTTACATATACCGATAAATTCAACACCCCTCTGTTGTATCTTTCCACCTCATTAAGCCTCAGTTTATTCTGTTGAATACGTCTTTTTTAATTCCACCATTCTTATACATAACTGTCCCCAAATATTTTAATTTCTCTAATCTATTTACCATTTACTCGCCAAGCATAACTGGTTCTCTACTTCTTTCTAAAACTATCCCATCACTAAACTTAAACTCCGAATATTTTGGCAAACGTTTCCCTCCATTATTACTTTATATAATACAACATTACAATACTTGTGCATAGGAACGTTGTCCGTGCTGTATCTGTTTGTATTCATAATGATCAAATCGTACAGCTGGGGAGTGAATATCAACATATCTACCGTGGGAGGTATGCCGGACTTTTCGGACCTTTACAAAAACACTTTTCCCGCCACGTCGGGAATGCTCACCCTTTCGCTGTTCATTCACAACATAATCATTACTATAATGCGGAATAATGAGAATCAAAAGCACAACGTAAGTCAAAAAACCAGGCCCGGATTAACAAAATTTGAGACCCGGGACCAGATATTTTCTTGGGGCCTTGAGATAAACTAGACAAAAAAATGCAACAACTTTTTTATAAAAAAACCACTTAAATTATAAAAAATAAAAAAAAATAGGTATAACTTATTGGTAAATATCTTAAAATAAAAAAAATATATAATTTATTAAAGACAATTACTTACGTACATTAGTTATACTACTTTAAAAACTTTTTTTTTTGCTTACTGCTTGCAAATGTCTGGAGTACACCGTAAGCTATCACAGTTTATTGTTCTTAAAATATCATTTTTAGATGATAATATCATCAAACGATTTAAGTTCTCCTGATTAGAAATTGTTCATATTTGTTTCTTATGCGAGTTAATTTCGAACAAAATTGATCAATGACGACATTGTGTGTTGACTATTGAGAAATGAGACTTATAATGTATGTGGTTAGTACTTACCATCAGGAAACTCTTTTTTAATTCTTCTCTCGCACTTTCTATTAATATTGATGCTAAGTTCACCATTTTACTTTCATAATCTTTCAAACATTAGTTCTTAAAACATTTTTTGCTGCTGTTCCATGTCTAAAGCTCTTAGAATTGGGGTTCATGGAGCAACATCCCCCTTTACTCCGGGCCTGCAAAACACTCCATACATTATATTAGCTGGTTAAACCAAATAAGATGACGCTCGACCGCTCTTAATATTATTATGTATATAAATGTACACATATTATAACGCATAATTTGTTTTCAGACACGTGATTTGACCATAGCGTTCGTGCTGGTCCTTTTAACGTACTTGCTGATAGGAATTACGTTTTACGTGTGTTTCCCTTTGGCCAAATCGTGTATCGAAGACGTAAGTATATATGTATCTATAATACATGCTACTAAATACTAATAAGCCATCATACAATCTATACAAGAATAGATTACCGCTACAGGCAGACGGCTACATTCAAAAAAAATTTTTAACTCTAATAAATTACTAAAACCTAAAATTATCATTAAATATTTAGATTTATTTGAACATAATAATTTCATTTTTTTGCTAATATTATTAATTTCTAAAGCAGTTCGCTAAATAAATAAGAGCATATGAGTTTAAGTATGTGCTAGAGTAGATTTGCCAGAGACGAAAGAACTCTTACACCAATTTACTCCTCAAAAAAAGACTAAATCACTTTAAAAATGGGATAATTAAAATTAATTCCTGTTACATCCTTATGTCAACTAAACGTTAATAAATTTATCACATACCATGACTAGCTGATAACATATTAGTTTTGATTTCCTAAGAGAGATTAGTAGCTCCCATGATACGCTACATTTAGCATCTTTTGGAGTATCAATAGTCACATTTTTTTTTATTAAAGATCATATGGATTAACAGCGAAGTTATGAGATCACCATGCCATATGTTTTATTTATTAAAACTAAAATAAAAAAATATTCTCTCCAAGAAATGATTACATAATATGTAATTATTTTACAATTCATCTTGTTCTTGTAGTTTATTCAGCACTACATTACGGTTTTTTTGAAAATTATTTATTAACTATTTTAATATTAAGATAATATTGCCAAAATAGTTGTTTTTTATAAAGCTTTATAATGAGCTTGATTTAAAAATAAAAAACTATTGTCTTAATATCTAAAATTATCTTCATATAAAAATAGTTAATAAATAATTTTCAATAAAACCGTAATGTAGTACTGAGTGAACTACAAGAAGAATATAGTATATTAATATATAATACACTCTATAAATGTAACATAGGTACAATTTCATTGTCTAACATGAACGCTGCGTATTTTACCAGTAAATTTATACACTGCACTGGTGAATTTATTTCTGTAAAAAATAATATTATTAAATTATTAATGACTATATACCATGTTTTTTTTTTTTAGAACTTTTTAAATAATTTCCCCAGTACAGACGTGTTCAGTATTGTTGCTCGAATATTTCTTTTCTTTCAACTGCTCACCGTATATCCTCTAATATCGTATATGCTCAGAGTTCAAGTATTTGCAGCTTTGGAACTGTCAATATATCCAAGTGTATTACATGTTGTGGCGCTCAATTGCTTCGTCATCATAATCTGCATTCTCTTTGCTATATTTTTACCACACATAGGAACAGTAATAAGGTAATGCACAAATTTCCAAACTGTTATGATTTGTATTTTTACTAAAACTAGTACAGTCAACCAAAACAGAAGTATTTAACTTTTTTAACATTCAAATTGTTTTTTAAATAATACTAAATATTTAAAAGTTAGTATTATAATAATACTAATTTCAGAAGTTGATTATTTCAATAGACCAAAACTTGATAGATTTAAACTAAAGAATAACATAATACAAGTTCAGATCAACAATTAAACACTCACCATAAAATTAATGAATTAATATTGAATTTGTTTATTTTATTTTTAGATTTAGTGGAGCCATTTGTGGTTTTGTATATATTTACACATTACCGACAATGTTACACTTGGCATCCCAAAAGAAGCGTAATCTTCTGACTACAGGATCAATCATATTCCACGTATCAATATCAATAATAGGGCTGGCAAATTTAATTGCTCAATTTTTTGTATAAATAACTACTTTAAATACGTATGACTAAATATCATAATTTATTTGTATATTTAATTATTCATACTTTCTTATGAATTTGTATCGTTTATATTGTTCTAACTATTGTAATGCAATGCAGTAAAAATTTTCACTGAGATCTCCTCACTGAGAAAGTGTGATATCTACCATAATTTTTGTTACATGATATTTAATTATATGGCTTGAACAATATTTAGTAACTATTAAGTTTGGAGGTACTTATTATTTTTAAATAAAAATAATAGGTAAACTGAAAAAAATGTAATTAGGCACAATCAATAATAGACAATACTGATAAGTCAGTAGAATGTAACAAACTGAAGCTTGCCAAATCCAAATATCCAGGATAGAATTTTAAAAAGATTGCAATAATTTAAATGAAAAGATTTAAAAAAATGTCCACACTGTTTATATCCGAAGTTTTACATCTATATTATCTCTATAATACAAATTTGGACAGTTTATCATAATTTTTGGTGTTAGGAGTACAGGTGATTGTAAACTTTACAGTTAGATAAAATAAAACATATATACTACATTCATAATTTTATTAAATAATCAAGCAACTAAAAATATTTAAAAAAAACAAACAAACATATTTAAAATATTTCATTTCAAAATCCTATAAGCCCATACTTTGTCAATTCCAGCACCAATGACTAGATAGGGTTTCAAATTTGGAAGTGGAAAGCGACAAGCAACTATCACTGCTTCGCTAGATAACTCCTTAACAAATTTTTTTTCGAGATCTAGCATCTGTAAATTATAAATTTTTATTTTTATAAATCTTACATTTTTTTAAAGTTATAGTTTTTTGTAAAATAATAATTGATTGTTTTGTGTTTTGAAACCCACTGCTAAGCTATTTCTAAAAATTCCTAAAACTATTATTATTTTTTTTATATATCGTTCTAAAGATTTTTGGCACAATATCTAAACAGTCACAATATTTTTTTACTGTTATTGATATTTAAATGAACTATCATAATGTATACATTTATTTAAATTTGATGGAGAATTAAGGAAGTATTATTTTTAAAAACACATTTATTATTTGTATATGATCTCTAATTGTTTACCTTTAATTAATTTGTATTAAAGCGTTTAATTTTTGTAATGGTTTTTCAGTGGTCTAAACTACTGAAGACTTGTGATCTACTTGACCTTATTAAATCTTGATCTCACCATAGTGGTAATTTTAATAGATAGCTTTCTTTTGGAAAAACATAATAGCTCAACAATTATTGACTAATTTATATAATAAATATGAATACAAAATTAAAATTAAGTTTTCAAGTTAATAAATAATTTTTTATATCAATATATTTTGAAACTGTTTAGACTTATTTTTTGTAAATAAGTAAAGTAAATATTGTGGAAATTAGTATGAAATAATCATATTTTTTAAAATGTATGGCTAAAGATTTCTAGTACATAATATCTACTTATTTATTAATTAGTATAAAATGTACTTTTTATCTGATCTTTATTCAAATAAATAATACAAACCATTTCGTCAACGCCAAATATAACAACATTTGAAAATGGTCTTAAGTCAAATTTCCACAAATCAGACCGAACAAACTTTGGACGAGGCCTAATGTTTGATAATAATGCAGTCAATCTTGAATACAACACTAACCAATAATTGAGTTCTACTCCAACAGACTCAAATCCAACTTTAGCTGATTCAATTACCTAATACAAATAATATTATTAATTTTTTTAAGTAAACATCAATAATATTTTAATTAGTATTCTTTGGTCTTACTATTCTTCCATCACCACTGCCTAGATCTACTAATTTGCCAGAACGACCTTTAAGTGTGCTTAATACATTTTGTAATTGAACATTAGTTGCTGGAACATAAGGTAGACATATCTTTCGTAAGGCAGGCGAAACAAATGGATAACAAACAATACTGAGTATAATTGAAGCTCCACCTACATTAAATAATATTTTATTATAAACCAATTATAATTTTTATAATTTCAAGTTAAAAAAATAATAAATATACCTGTTAAGCCAATTAAAAACAAACCCTTAAAGCTTCTGTCATTACGTAATTCAAGCTTTTCTGAAGCTTGATTTATGTTTGAAAATATATCAGAGTTCATCACCTCTTAAGTGTTCGGTTATTATTAAAGTTCTAAGTACCTATACAAAAAAAATACTTGATTAATGAGTTCAATAATTTATTGTAACATTGCCTTTTGAAAACGAAGTACACATAGTTATATCAATTCTCTTTTATTAGTCATGGTAATTAAAACAATTAATACTGTAAATTATAATTGATTTATTTATAACTACTTTTTTACTATACTTGATGATATTTTAAAACGAAATTTTAGGTACTTATGATTATTATTGCTAGGTAAAATGTTTATAATTCCAAATGGCTTATACCTATCCTATCTTTATAAGTCATCAGTCACGTGTTGGCGGTGTTAGCACTTTACCATGAAGACTAGTCATGCACAGCGTGACAGCTTTAACTTAACATTTTATAGTAATTTATTAATGCCGTTAGATAATAAGTTACGTTATCATGACAGATGATAAATTGATTGGTATCTTTAGAACTAGTGATAACCGCAATATGGTTGCCGGAATTTTTGGGCGGCTGTATATTTCTTACGGAGAAAATCAGCTGCCATGTTGTACAAATTGATAACACAAGTAGGGGTGACATACCTATGTAATATAATAATATAATTTTTAATTTTGTTATTAGATAAATGAACTTAAAAATATAAAAACTCGAGAGTCGAGACTAGAGCATAGACAAGTATACTAGATATCGTGGAAGGATCGTCAACAGTCAGCACGGTTGTCACTTGTCTGTTGCAAGTTGTTTTTTGTGTTCAAAATGTTATAGCTACTAACTACGCCAAAACGTTGAGTAAAATACCCAGTGTTAAAATACTGTTCAACAAAGATTGAAATAAATTACTCATTACTATTGCTTAAGGTTTTAAGTAATAGATAATTTTGAACTAATTGTATTAGATTCCTCCATCGACATTTAAAATAAAATTGGTAGATATTTTTAAGATGCTTATAATATTGTACCTATAGTAGCTACATCTTGTGAATGCATATGTATATGTTTTGTTATTCAAAGTGCTGACAGAATTGTCCATTTCATTGGTGATATACCTATAGTCCGTTACCTACTGTCTACAAAAATGTTTGAGAGCATTGAAAAAAGTATTGAAAATCACATTCCACATGAAGAACTGAATGAAGTTCAAAGAATTTTGTTTGGTAAAAAACTAGAGTAAGTTTCAGTATGATTCTTAAATGATAAAAAAAATAAAACCTCATTAGATATAATAGCTACTTTGATTTCATATCATTTAGAATTATCCAAGTAAATATTTATTTATAAATCAAGAAAGTTTAAAATAATAAATTATGTTAGAAATAACATTGTGATGGGACATTATCACAATTGTTTTTCAGTAGCTGAAAATGACACGTGAATGTAGTCAATCTACAATAATTTTTTTAAAAAAAATCAATCTAGGTATTTGGTTTTAAAGTAACTATACAATTTCTTAAATGAACGAATGTTTTAAAAACATATGGGACATGTTGATGGTATTAACAATGTTAATTATAATTTCAAATAGCACTACTGACTGAACCGTAAGATTTAATTAGTACCGAAGTAATCAGTACAAACTAATAAGGACAAGAAAATTTTTTTTTTTGTATAGTCTTGCAAGTGATATAAAACATAATTATATTGTTAATGCACGTTTAGGCTAATGCCAGACTAGTATCTATTGATATTTACAAAAAACAGCTTGTTTACTCTTGATAGTCAAAAATACTTAAGTCCTTTGTTTGTCCAATCTGAAGTGTTGTTTTAAATGTGCTATTTTTCATATGGATTGTCGATATAATTATAGTATAAAAAAATACTGTATACTTTTACTTGATTTAAATTTTATCGAAATCTGAACTCTCCTATTTGAAGTAAATAAAAAATTCTCCTAGCTGAAGTACAAAATTTAATACTATATAATTTTAGTTTTGTAAAAATTATTACTAATTACACAAGTTTAATAAATGTATGTATTTTTAGAAAACTGGAGGTACCTGAGTCATGTATTAACAATAAAGAGAATGTAGAAGTAAAAGGATATAAATTTCACTGTCAAGCTGAAGAATTAAGAGAAAAGAGGTATTTAAATTAATTGAATCATTATAAATAAAAAATGACCCGACTACTTTAGTTGTTAAATTTAATAAACATAAATATAGAGAACTTATTTCTTAATTTTAAGTTTTTACCTTTAATATAAGTTATTAAAGCACAACAATGTTAGATTAACATTTTTTCGTTGTTCTGAAGATAATGAATAATGTCTCTTATATCAAATAACCTTTTAATCATTGATATATTAATATTATTGTACATGATAGTTTACTATTTCAGAGTAGTTAAAGTTGGTGTTATTCAGAATCAAATAGTCCTCCCGACAACTGCTCCATTAATAGAACAAAGAAATGCTATTTTCAAAAAAATTGGAAATATTATATCTTTAGCAGCTAAAGCTAATGTAAATATAGTTTGTCTTCAAGAAGCTTGGCGTAAGGTTTCCTAATTTTACAACTAGTGTATTTATTAAAATATATAAGTAATTTTTTTTTTTTTTTAGCTATGCCATTTGCTTTTTGTACAAGAGAAAAATTTCCTTGGTGCGAGTTTGCAGAATCTGTTACAGATGGACCTTCAACAATGTTTTTAAAAGAAGTAACTATTTTTGTTTTGATTTTTTTAATTTATTATAGTATTTATACAATTAATTTAATTGTATTGTAGACCTATTTGAGCCAGCTCAATTCTTTTATAAATATTATTACATAATTCATACAACCAGGGATGGTTCTAAGACTCAAATTTTGTATGGGCAAGAGTATACTTTTAAGAGGGCATCGCACTGGTGATTTCCAGTGGTAAAAACATGTTTACGGCAACTGAAAATAACTAGCTTAATTTTGGTTTTAGAGTAAAAACACCCACTATAATATTAAAAGAGAACAATATTCCAGAGGGCAAGACGGTGCGATTTTTTAGAAACCGAACAAAATAGAGTCCTAGTTATTGAACTAATAATTACACATCACAGTTTAACCTTTAAATTAAGATTTTGTAAAAAATTGCCTATACTTTACTCCTTAAAAATGGGCGTTGCGACGTCCTCTTAAGTGAGCTGTAGGCAAAACTTAAATCCCCAATTTTATTTTGCCTTAACAAACCCAGTATAAAAAAATGCAATAACTGCCCACTTTGCCCTTACTCTAGAACTGCAACTGAACCCTTAGAAAACACAACAGTCTTTAACATTTTAAAACTAAATACACATTTCTATAGCTGTGCAAACAATATAATATGGTGATTATATCTCCAATTTTGGAACGTGATGAAAGAGATGTTATATGGAACACTGCTGTAGTTATTGATAATTATGGAAATGTCATTGGAAAACATCGCAAAAACCATATACCTAGAGTAGGTGATTTTAATGAATCCACTTACTACATGGAAGGAAATACAGGACATCCAGTTTTTGAGGTAACATTAATTGTTTTACTTTTTTATTATTATTATTTACACCAAGTTTTAATGTATACACTTAAGACAATCTTTGGGAAAATTGCAATAAATATTTGTTATGGCCGACATCATCCACTTAATTGGTTAATGTTTGGGCTAAATGGAGCTGAAATAGTATTTAATCCTTCAGCAACAGTTGATGGCCTTAGGTAAGTAACTATTTATATATATTATAATATGAATAAAACTAGCTATGAGTATTATGTAAGTATAAATACATAAGGGTTAAAACGCTAAATATGAACTAACGTTTAAACCAAACTCCCATCGATTTTTTTGAAAATTACACTGCATGTATGTTACAATGAAAATAATATTCACAAGTTTTGTTAGATTTATTTTTATTATTTTGTGCATGGTCTACAAAAGTATTTTGAGTTTTTTTCTTGACACCTCTTTTTTGTCGTTTTTTTTATAGTATCTTTGGACATCATACAAAATTATTAAAATTTAGTTTCTTATGTAAAATAATCTCAGCTTTCTGAAAAAAATATTGATTTTTTTTTTTTGCATAATAGAAAGTCATTATAATTGAATTTATAATGTAAAATGTTGTTTTTTCTTCTTGCCCAAAATTTGAGAATTTTTCTAATATTTTTTCAGAAAGCTGAGGAAATTTTACATAAATATGTAAATTTCATATTGGGATCTCTATAGTAACTCTAAGAAAAACAAAAAAAAGGTAAATTTTAGAAAAATTGAAAATACGGAAAACCATGTTATTTTTATAAAAATGATTGATAATTCATTTTGAATACCGTCGTAAATTTTTCTCATTTTTTCGACTTTTATGAATTTTCACTTCTTTTTTTGACCAAAATATTTGAACAAAATCTTTAAAAATTAAAATACTTAGATTAAAATCTTACTATTAACCAGAACACATTTAAATCTTTATTTACAAAATTTACGGACACACCCATATTTACAATTTGTTTTGTGCCTCCAAGTTTTGAAAGTCTTTGACTTACGATGGTATCTATAACTAACGATCAATTTAGTCTAAAGGTAGAAACAGAACGGAAAACAACAGACCATGATCACAGCCCTGAAAATGGATTATATAAAGTTTCCAAAGCTTTGGCGAAAACAAGTAAAATTGTAAATATTGGTGTAACTGCAAATTTTGTAAATAATATAATTGAACCTCATACAAGATTTAATCAATTTACAATATAATAAATTAAATTATAATATACCTTAATAAGAGAGTTAGCATGTTGTGGCTGTACGTTGTCTGACGCTAAATAAGTATAAATTATACATTTTAAATTCCAGTGAAACATTATGGGGAATTGAAGCAAGAACAGCAGCTGTGGCTAATGGTTATTTTACTTGTGCCATAAACCGAGTTGGAACTGAATCCTTTCCTTCAGAATTTACTAGTGGTGATGGCAAGCCAGCCCACAAAGATTTTGGACATTTCTATGGTTCTAGTTATATTACAGCTCCAGATGGTTCAAGGACACCTGTAAGAAAATTGTTTTAATATGTGTAGCCAATTATTTTATAAATATTAAATACTTCATAAATTGTTAAATTATACAACCTTATATACTACATTCCATGTTTTAAGAACAAATATACATAATTTATGTAATTTTCAAATTCATAAAATAATAAATAAATAAAACAAAGGTATTAAATAAAGTTTATACTTACAGGGTCTCTCAAGAATTAATGATGGCCTGCTTATTGCAGAAATTGATTTAAATCTTTGCAGACAAATAAAAGATCATTGGGGTTTTCAAGTAATAATTTTGCATCTATTCAACTTTAAAATTAATTTTAAATTTGTATTTTTGTTTTAATTGTCTTATTATTTTCTAGATGACTCAAAGACTTGATATGTATGCGGATTCTTTATCAAAATATGCAAACAAAAAGTAATTTTAATTTTCAGTACCTGACGGTAAACTGTTCAATATACAAAACTCCAATGGCTTCAATGTTCAAAATACCTGTGTTTATTTGTTTTTAGTGTGAAGCCTATTGCTTGACATTTTTTGGCAAACTACTTTAAAAACAAATCATTTTAAAGAACAATTATATTTTATTAAATTCGTATTTTAAAACATTATCATTATCATTTTCATTAAATACTTGTCTACTTTATACTAAAATATTAAAATGGAATTATGAATTATTTTAAATAAATAAACATTATAAAAAATGTTGGTTGTTAAAAATACGTGCGTTTTCTATTAAGTATTATATAACGAACATCAATTTTTCCTCAAATATATGCTGGTTTAGAACAGGCACATAGCATATTCAAGTTAGTTGCCATTAGACTGTAACAAAATCATGAGGGCTGTTGCTGTTCTAATTTTATTTGTCATTATTAATTTTTGTTCGGCTTTTGACAACCAATGGATACCTAATTACTATCAACCTCAACCAATGCAGTTTAACTTATTAACAATGATCCGTGGATCTTGTGCCGTTTCACTAAATTTCTACAGAAGACAACATTTTAATGTGAAAATACCACTTTTTAATGAAACTATACCAGCTGGATTTTGTGCAATTTTATTAAATGGTGTCGAAAACTATAACCTAGCGATAGCTTTAGAACAGGACTTTGATGGCATTACCTATAATGTTTTTAACCAAAACATCAGACTTTACAGCATTAAATCTGGCAATGTCACACTTGTTAAAAAGTAAGAGTATAATATTACAGATAAGACAATTTTATTAATGTTTTTTTAAATTTATATTTAACACTAATTATTTATATATTTTTTAGTGATTGTGATTATAATAATGCTCCACTCCTATCAATAACAGATTCAAATATCGCATTACTTATTATTAAAGCTGACCAGAACATAAATATTGCAATAAGTGTTTATACTCATCACTCATTTAAAAATGGAAGTAACTAAGAAGTAAACAATGTGTAAAACGAATAAACCTCTATAATATTTTTTTATTGAGCACTTTCTAATCATTTTTATTTGGCGCAACATTTTTATTATTATTTGTAATTTGTTTAAATATAATTGGTAGATTTTTTATTAAAAAACGTCTTTTTTAAGACTAAAATAGAGTCGAATAAGAATGAATTTATAATTCAAACATTAACTAAGAAACAGTGTTTTTAACAATTAACTGATTTTTAATTTTTAGATTAAGCAAAACATATTTATTATGTACGTAAACAATTATTACTTTAATTTTCTTTTTAGTATAAACAAAAATTAACCATTACCTTTTCAAAAAAGTTTTAACTATGTAGTATTCAAATTTGTTTACATTTTCAGTAGTTTCCAGAATGTTATAACTTATGTATATGAAATTCATAAATAAATAAAATGATACAATTAAATAATGAATTGCGAGTTTTACTACTTACTAGGTCAACTAACCCACATGTAGCCAGCATAAAAAACTTCTATGTCATAGGGGCATGTTATGTTAAAATATATCAGCTACGATAAAAATGTTGTAATTAACTAACATTTCAGTGTGTATGTAACACTTAATAAGTAGAGTAACAAATAAGAACATTTTTAAAATGACAAATTTACAAATTTTTAGAAGTTGTGTATATGTTCATCTTTTAGTAGTGTGCATTATATTTTGTGTGGTGTATGACAGCACTGCTGAATTGAATTATAGACGACCAAAAGCACATTTTCAGTTGACACCTTGTCAATCAGCATTTACAATAAATATTGGAAATTATATTTTTGATTATGATGCAAAAATTACAGGACATTATGACAGTAAGTACATTAATATAGGTATGTTAAACAATTTCAAACTTGTTTTGTCCAACAGAAGAGTGTACATTTTTAATAGAAAGTCCACCTAAATCACAAATGAGACTAAGGGTCTCTCTTTCAATAGGAAATTTAGAAACTATAGAAACTTGTGCATGGTGGCTAAAATTATTTGATTTTCATAGCAATGCAACGCTGATTCCACTCGCAGAGTATGTAACATAATCAAAATCAATAAAACAATCATTAAAATGTATATTTGTATCTTATTTACAGATATTGTGAATCGACAAACACTACAGACTTATTGACTTATTCAAACATTATGTACATTTTATTGAATATTCCACCAGAAGGTTCATTTCAATTACACATAGAAACTTAATACAAAAATATATATATACATATATATTTCAATATATGTATATTATAATATGTATAATATATGTATTGTGTAGTTAACATACTAACAAAACATATTATGCTTAATACATGAGAGATCTTTCCACAATAGAAGTGATATTCATTAGACTTTCTTTTTCCTTTTTAAAAAACAATATTAGTGTCTCGTCTATTGGTTCAGACCACCTTGATACCTGTTTCTTAATTGCAAATCTGAATTCTTCTTTCACACCTTTTCCTGCTCCTCTTGTTGATATTCTCGGACTGTTAAAATTTGTATTTTATAAATTAAGTTATTTAATTTTTTTAAACTAAATTATAATATAATTTACCTTAAAGAATTAGCTACACATGGAAAAACATTTAGAACACATTTTTCGTTTTCTATAAACATAGCCATAAACTGTTCTATAATATCAATGTTGGTGATATAATCAGAGAACTGTGGATAGGTAAATACGGTGAGTTTAGATATGCGTTCGTACATATCGTTCGCAATTTCGCTAGGCCAAACAATTTGTGACAATACTAATAAGTGACCAATAAGATCACTGGCAGTAGAGAAATTCATCAAATGATTCTTTAAACAACAATAGTTAAGAATATATTAAAAAAGGTAATTCATCAAAGTATAAATACAAAAAAAACTGTTTACTCACATAGAGAATTTGAACCATAATTTTAGTGCAATATTGCAATACTGGCAGTTTTGCAATTTTAATATAATACATTTCTCTTTCTTCCGGAGGATTTGCTATTTCAGAAGAAACGTCTCCGTATAAACTTAAGTTTTCTAGTAGTTTGACAACTTCAAAAATATGTTCAACACATTTCTAAAAAAATTTAACGGAATTAATGCAATGTATAAAAATTAAAATTTGTAATTTTCCAACCTTGAATTGTTGCACACAATACGACAAGCTTACTAATGATAATGATCTTCTGATACTTTCTTCAGCTGGTACATATTTAAAAAGATTTTTGTATTTTCCTTGGTAAAATTCCATATCTCTTAAAAATTGACCTATATATGTATCTACTTTAATTTGAGCACTGAGCTTCCAATAATCTATAAAAATAAACATAATTTTAAAAAGTTGTTTTTATAGAAAACTACATTTATAAAACCTGTGCACATGGGTTCTTTGTTAGTTAGTAGTTCCCAATAGTTAAATGCCATTTTAAAGTTATCAAGAACTTCTGACGAATCATCAGTTATACCGATTAGTGATTCATTTAATTTTGTGGCCATTGATAAAACTGTTTGTTTTGATGGAGGTTTGTTGATTTGCACTTTTGGGCCTTTAATGACTTTTACTAATAAATACTCCGCTCCATTTTCTAAAAATTTTAAATAATATTGTTATACATTATTTTATTATGCATAATTTGAGTTAGACCAGTCTGATGACCAAGTATTTTTACAGATCTATTTTTATAGTAATCTAAAAATGCATAAACTATTGTTTTTTTATTTACAAAATGTATTTGCAAGAACAAAATTGGACAACTAAAATGAATACTAAAGGTTAAGCCAAGTAATATTTAGAAATGCTATGTATCAAGAAAAAAACTAACTATCCATCTATCATCACGTAATACAGTTGCAAAATTAAAACTTATACTTACAATACTTTCACATACCTGATTTTAGCGATTGGTTATAATCATAGACATGTTTCACAAAAAGTATCATACCACAAAACACTAATTGTTTACTGAGTTCACTGTTGTTTGAAGCGATTACAAATTTTTTCGCAAAACTGGATACTTTTTTCCATGCTTTTTTTCTATCACTAAAATAAAAGTAATACAATTTTTTAAATAAATATGAAACCCAAATACATGACAAATACTTTAAATAACTAGAGTTCAAATAACGTATACACCCTACTACCTTTGACTTAAAACTGATCTCAATTCCCAAGATAGTTTCTTTCCAATACGCTCACATGAAGCAAATAAGTCTTCCCAAGGTGTTTTAATACAGTTTTCAGTTTCAGGTAACTTCTGTAAGATTTCAACAACTTAGTTATTTATTTAAACTAAAATTATACACCTAAAATATTACTGGAATTGTTGTGTGTCCTCCCATAGCATAGGTGATATAAAATTCTGTTGTCTTTGTCAACATTTTATAGAGATTTTTCTGATTTAATGCATTTGTAGATACTAATAAGGGTCCAAGGTCACATACTACAAAACATAAAAAACATTTACACATACAATACAATTTTATTTTGTCAATATTTAAAAATCAATGGTTAAGCATAGTTTAATCTTTTTTTAGCAAAAAGCCAATTATGACTTTAATAAATAAATAACAAATTAAAAATTATAAATGATATCAATAAAAAGAGAAGAACATAATTTTTATAATAAACATTACCAAACAAAATGTATAAAGATGAAATTAATTAAATTATTAAGTAAAAATGAACCTAAATCAAATATGAGTTAAAGCCAATTTTAAATTAAGAAAGCAGTCAAGGAAGATATCAAGAGAGGTAAGTTATTACAAGGAATACAAATACGGTTATTAATTTAATAATTATGATTATTTATTTTATCTTGTTCAGAAATAAAATTGTGTTTAGTCTAAAGAAGCGGTCGCTAACCTTTCGGATTTCACAGACCACTAAATTTATAACTTAAAATCCCGCAAACCACTTATGTCATATGAGTTATAATTTCTATAATTTATTTTTTAAGATAAATACATTAAAATTCAACTTTATTAATATAAAATGCACCTTTTTTTAAACTTTTAAAATATGAAAGTTAGTTTAATTATTACAAAAGAATTAAAGTGTATTTAAGGATTACAAATTTTTAGTGTGATATTTGCTTTTACTTGTTTGAAATAAGTTTGTGGATTTTTGACTCCAATGACGTTACTGCAAGATGGAGAGTTCTACTTTAAGATTAATAATATAAAAAATGAAAATAATATCCAGATTTTTCTGTGGACTACCAAAGTTCTTTCACGGACCTTGCAGTGGTCCAGAGACCGCTAAATGGCGTCCACTGGTCTAAAGCGCTTATATTGTGAAAAGGTCATTTTTATTTCAATTGCGCTTAACTCATTAATACATTGAACTATCAAAATTAATAACTCAAAGAAAACGTTGTAATAGCTAATAATTAATAAATAATATACAAAATGTTTAATCATATTATATTTTATTCTTCAATAGGTAATATTTACAACACTACTGTTTGTATAACAGTTATGTGTTATGAAGTCTTAATTGGCTAGCTCACTAAAAATGTATATTTTTTTATTCTCTTATTCACAACCTTACCTAGAATCTTTCTATAACAGTTTATAACGTTATGACACTGATTATGTTTTTCTGCTGCAATCATTGTATCCATTAATTTAAGCTAAATACAATAATTATATTTTATACAATTATTAATTATAAAGGCACATTAGAAATTTAAATTTAAAATAAAAACAGTGTATTACCGCTAATTCAGTTGAAGATTGAGGAAAACGGTTTAACAGCAAAAGTACCAAACGACAATGTTCCATTGTATCTTCACTTCTTTCTGCGCAAACTGACAGTAGTTTTTGTTGAATTGCTATAATAACATTTAAAAACAAAAATAGTCCAAAGCATTATAAAATAAAAAATATTTATTACATAGTACTTACACAAAGGAAGCGCAGAAAACATTTCACGGAAAAATGTTTGTTCCTCTGACAGACACGCCGTATCCATACATAAAACCGGTGTGAAATTTTCAATTTCTTTCCAGAGTATCTGTTCATTTGGAAAATCTTCTAATCTATATTATTTAATATTAGTTAAAGAACATTCTGTATAAATGCACCTTAATGGACATCCTTCTTTTACCATATAATGTATTTGTGCCGATTACGAATCTGAAGTCAGAATTAGGCAGACTCTAGTTTAAAAGTTAGAGCTACATGAACTTTGAAGTTTTCCCCATATAGCAGTAGGCAATAGATGCAGTGGCAACAGCTAGCGGCCTACGCAACTATGCCTTTTGTGGTCTTATTTTGTTTTGCTAAAAATGTGACACAGCCGCCACAAGGAGAGTGCGCCATGATCTTCTCGCTCAACAATATTTTTAAAGTTGAAATAGGTGTAACTTTTGAACTAGGGGAGTCGCCTAATTCCGAATTCAGATTCATAATATGGCAAACAAAATATTGCAAAAAAAAAGGTCTTTAGTAAAGAGCACTTTTTCAAAGATAATATGAAATACAATACAATGACTTAAACTTACAAGGAACTGAAACATCTAGCTGCTCTCTGGACACAGCGTAAATTCTTCTCGATTTCGTAACATTCATACTGAAAAAAAGAATGTTACAACTTATAATTTTTTTTTCTTTAAATAATATGTATTATGTTTATACGTGTATGCTAAAGTTGGAAGGAAACATGGATTTCGCAGTGAGTAACCACGATCGACATCTAAAACAATCCGTTTCTAAATAGCTTTTTGCTTTAGCCATCATGAATTCTTCGTCGCCAATAGTCACTTCCATAGGTTCCATTTTAAGCTATATTAGATGTCTTTAACAAACTGTTATTTATTTAAAAAATATAGTAATAATATAACAATAATTATAGTGTAAAACTAAAAGAAAAAAAAAATAGTAATATTTAAATATTGTGATCGGCCGCCGGCGTCGTATTTTTGAAAAATGTAATTTATCAATAATTATAGGTATACAAATTTCTCACAGATAGATTTGTTATCATTTTAATCAAAATTAATAAACCAGAATTATTAAAGGAGATGGGGGTTCTTCTAAAAATGATAACGCGTGATAATAAATAATTTTTTCCAAATACTATAAATGATTTATAAATCATTATTTATTTACAGTATTTGATTGATGTTACAACTTACACAGTTTCAGAGTTCAGTTATCTGTTGACACTCAACGTATGACAGTAAACGAATTTACCAAAAACTTTAAAAAGTAAAAATTATTATCCGCCTACGGTCTTCTAAATAATTGTTTCGTTTAAATAATTATTATTATTATCCTTCAACATTGGAAACAAACTACAATAATATTTATAAAATTCGTAAAATAAAAAAGATGTCTGGGGAAGCGATGAATTCAGATTCAAATCCTTGTTTGCAAGTAAGAACAATTTGTTTGGCTATACACACAAAGCTCATCTTAATTACCGGAATTGTGTTTTTTAAAATATAACAATTAGTTAAAGCTTAAAAAACTTCTATGTTCATTTCAATCGTAGCACAAATTCAATATATGTAAACCATTTATAAAAATTTAGGCCTTTTTTAATTTCAGAACGCTCTGCTATTAAAACATTTATTTATATATTTATAATGACTTAATTTATTGGTTCCTTAAACATCTACTAGCCTGTGACCAGCCTATTAAATGATTTGTTCAATCCAGCATTACTAATAATAATATAAATAATTATTATGTAGGAACAGAGAATATCACTAAAATGTTTACAAGACAGCTTTGGAAATAGTAAGAAATGCATGCCTGAAATTGAAAATTATAAAGAATGCAAAACATTTTGGGTAAGATTTAATTCCATTTAATTATATATTTTTTGGTAGAATTGAAGCAAAAGAATAGTTAAATATGTTCTGGAGACTACAAACCACACTAAATAGTGTAGTTTTCTTGTTATTCACTTTTTATCAGTAAAAAAAAGTAAATTTTAAAATTCTATTTCTAATATTAAATAACTCATCATGATATACTATCAATTATTGTTTAAACAACTTTTTCAGTACAATATTTATAAAGAAAGAAAACGAAAAAACATAAGACCACATCTACCCTCAAAGGAAGAACGAACTAAAATAAAAAAAGAATACTGGACTCAGCTTTGAAATATATATATTTAATTATTCAAAGTTTACTACAATAATTGTGTAATATTTTAGTTGCATAAGTGCTTGAATAATATATTATAGCTTATATTTATGTAATAGTAATTTTAAGTTTTTTTGATAATTATAAAAACAATTTACACAATAATGTCTATTTAATAATACAAGATATAAATACAAATAATAAATACAATAAAAAATAATAATTGAAAACATAAATGTTTATGATATTATTAGCCAAAGATATAAAGTAATAAATTTGATAAATATACAAATAAGCATTAAATTATTAAATTATGAATAATTTAAGTTATATTTAGTTAATAATACAATTTATTAACTATAATCTAAACTATTAATTAAAGGTTAGGTAAAATAGGTAGCTAATAGAAAGTTGAATAATTATTTTTTTATTTTAATAATTAGGATGAAACATATATGTAGATACACACAATCTTAAGTGTATTATACAATTACTTTATGAATGAAGGATAGCATCATATGCTTGGAAAACGCCTTGAGCTACTTCTAATGCTTGAGACTTTAAGGATAACTATATAAAAAAAAAATGAAAAAATGTATATATTTTATAATAAATACATTTTTATATAAATACTTTCATTTATTCAATATGAAAAAATTATCTTACAGTAATATTTGGATTTCCTGGTTGAATTTTCAGCTCATTCAACACCCAATTACCATTTGTCAACTTCAACGATTGATACAACATATCCTGGCCTTCAACGTTTCTTTTAGCAATTGTGAACACATTATTTTGCGACATCTTCATGACTATTGCCTCTGTTAAACATGTATATACTGAAGCATTACAAATTCAAATTTTGTTGTAAAATATTATTTCACTGAGTTATTGTTTTACCAGTGTTGCAGAGTACGTTTTTTAAAGTAAACTGAACTTCATTCTCAGCTGGTATATCCTTCCATGTAGTTAAAAATACTCTCTTATCCATTTGCCCATCTTCAACAAAGAACACGTTCATTGGAATGATACAAGCATAATACATGACATCAATATTGTTCTTGATAGCGACCTGTTATTAAAACATTTAATTGTTAATGGTAGTTTATATTCATAGGCACAATTTGGGAGGGAGGTTGAGTAGGCATAGTACTTCTATTTATAAAATTGTTTGTTTATCCATACAATAAGTAGCATCATTGATTATAATAATATAGATAGCCCACTGGCATGTTATTTTTGCTGCACGTAAATTGTTGCTGTTGTAGAGCGCTTTTTACTGTATTTAGTTATGGTGGTAGATACTGTGAGTGCTGATAACCAACACACAGGTGCAATACAACCAGGAAGGACTTAGTGAGCCTGCGTACCAATTGTTAGTGCTCGCGGTATATACCGCCATAACTAAAAACCGTAAAAAGCCCTTTACAACGGCAATAATTTTCACGCAGCAAAAAAATTCATGTCTGTAAAAGGCTATTTATATTATTTATAAAGAATAGTAGTATGGAAAGGAGAATTTTTAATATTTTCAGTACTTCAGCACTTCTACTATTTTTTTAGCGAAATTCCACCCCTATTTATATAATAACACATAAGTTAATAATCCATTTTTAAAGAAAGAAAAACAATTTGACACTACTGGAAGTTTAAGTGTACTGATGTATCTTATACCTGTAGGTTAGTAATTGGTTCCATTCGTTGAACCATTCCAGTAGTAGAAAGAGGTAGACTAACTTCACAAGAAGCTGTAGGCATTAATGGATTTACAACTTGCAGTGGACGTGCTGGTGTTAGGCCAAAACTAATAAAATAATACATTTTGAAATACAATAAACATTGCATTAACGACTGCAAATAAGACTTACGAATTTTTGTTTAACTGAATAGCAAAACCAGACATTGGTTGCATAGCTTTATTTTTTAATGTCATATCCATATTAATCTGACCATTCCTATACATTTTTAGTACAAATAATATTTAAAATTAAATTATCTCAACATTTAAAAGTCAATTTTCAATTAACATACTTCCTTGAGAATGTCCCCATGATCTCTAATCCTTTGCCATTTTCACTAGGCAACCAAAGTAATTTTGGAGGAGAATAAGATATTGGTGTGGGAGTAAATCCAAAAATATCTCCTAGTAATCCAGTATTTGATGATGTTGATGTTGCAGGAATATCAGATGTTGTTAACAAAGAATCTAATCCAGAAGCAAGTAAATCAACTGATGGTTGAGTAGACGCAGGAATAACTGACGGAGTTGTCAAATCCATGCTAAGAAGATCACCAATTAATGATTCTTGGGGGGCTGGTATAACTGCTGCTTGTGAAATATTGCCAGAAGTTGTATTTTCACTTCTAAAAAAAAAAACAATTTTTTTAAATAAAGATATCCTAATTTATACCTACGTAAACATTCTTTTACCGAGCCGGCAGAGATTTACGCAATCCTGGTCTGCCTTCAACAAACGCATTTGGTGGTTTATGATAAACACTAGCTAAACTAGAAATATGACACACTAGCTCATCAAGTAAAGTAGGTTCTAAAAGATCAGTTTCTTCGGATATTAATGGTTTTTCTGCAAGAACAACATCTTTAGCTGCTCCTGGATCAGTAGACAATAATCTCCAATAAATAAAACCACGATCACGTAAATCTGGATTATCAGAGTCCTGTGTGGCTAAGCTTAAGACCTGTTGAACTAGTTCTTGCGTGTCCGTAGGACGTTTTAAAAATAATTTTACAATAGCCGTTAATAGCTGCAATTGTACTTGAGTATTTTCATCGTGGAAACCTTCCAAGAAACTCTCTAATAATTCATCAGCATTATCAATTCGTTCAGCATATTCACCAATTATCCAAATCATAGATGCTCTTGCTTCAGGCTCATCTAAAGTGTCCAAATTTTCACACAACAATGAAATAATGCTTTCATACTTGTTGGGGTACTTTCGAAATATATCTTTGATGACCACAATAGCTTCTTGGACAACATAATTAACTTTAGTTTGTATCAAATCAAGTAGGGTTGATACACATCGTTCTGCAGATTGTTCAACTTTAATTGCGCATCTTCCAATTGCACGAACCGCTTTACGTACAAAATCAACATCTACCTCAGTGGCGTATCTATAAAAGTTACAAGTTATAAACTAGAAATAATTATAAATAATACAAAATTTTACTCTTTAAGTTCTGACAAAACTTGAGCAATGTTTGCTTGAGATGCTAAACGAATCATAATGTCCAATTTTTCTAATTTAACATAAATAGGATCATTGTATTTAACAAAAAATACTTTCATTTCATGTTTAAGAATATCTGGCCGCTTTTGTACAATCAAGTTTATATTTCTGAGTGCAACATATTGTACCTAAAACCAATAATTTCTAGTTCATATTTAAATTCAAATTTAAAAAAATTAAAAAACCTTACTTCTGGTTCAGTTGATAGTAGTGTAACAAGAGGCGGAGCGAGTTTTTTGGTCAAAGTAGTAACAAAATCTGAATCAGTTGGTAGCATTTCCATGAGTTTCATTAGTACTTTAATAGCAGACAAAACCACAGCAGCATTAGCATGAGCTAAGCGTGGTGTGATTCTTTCGCAAATACTGAAATTTATTATGTCCAACAAATTAATTCAACTCTTAAAGCAAATTTTAAATCCTAAAAGTTTTTAAACACTTATATTAAACCAGAGCATAATAAATTATTAACCTTTGAGCTTCACGGTCATCCTTAGGACTGTAATTAGCCAATGAATCAAGAATGAATACTTGACCCCATTCTGTGCACTCATTCAATGCTGTTAAAAGTTTGTTTATGGTTTGTGAATTCATTTCAATTAGTGGTGACCCAGTTATGCTTGCTTCGTTCATTTCAGATAAAGCAGCTACAGCATTAGCAACAACCTGTAAATGAAAAAAAAAAAACATCAATTATTATTCAAAAATTAAGAAACACAACAAATTACCATTGGGTTAGAGTCTGACAAAAGTTCTTTTAGCTGTTCCAAAAATCCTTGATCATCAACTAACTGAGCGTTGATGTCGTACAACTTAGCTACACACACTGCAGCTGTTTTCCTTACATAAGGATCTTCATCTCGCAAACACTTACGTAATGGTTCACATAAGTATTCTGTTATTTTATCTACTCTGATGCATCCCATTGTGCGTACAGCCAACGCACGTATTAATGGATTTGGATCTTCACAATCCTTGAAAATAATCAATTCGATGGTACATGACTTGCTATATCTAATATTATTTTAATGTTTTTATACCTTAACAAATGTATTGACAGCCATAATTGCCATATCTGGATTGCTTTTAGCATAATTCATCAAATATAAGTACACGAGTTTTTTTAATTCCAAATTATCAGTTTGCATACAGTTTACAACATCAGGAAACAAAGCAGATACATCTTTTCCAACAGTCATTGAGGCGATAACCTTTACAAATAAAATATTTTTAAAAAACTCAAGATAAATACAGTTAAAAAAAAATAATTTAGAAAGATAATATTATTATTTTTTGTCATTAGGTAAGGTATTGACCATTTCTTTAAGACATTATTAAATTATAAACTAAATTTAACCAATTAAGTAATGTGTGAAAACCCTAAATGTTTAATAGCAAAAAACACAAATCAGGTGTAAACTAAACTAGCCAAAAAATAAACTATAATTTACTTTTTTGACAGCTTCCCTCTTTTTTTCCTTTTTATCACTGTTCAGTTCAGATTTCAATTCAAAAATTTCTCCCTTTTTGGTAGTAGTAAAATACTTGCTGTCCGTCATTTTGATGCTTTAATTGTCTAAAAAACATTAAGATAAATATTTAATAATACATACATTTAAGTGTTCAAAAATTAGATTGCCACTGATGCGCTGTCCTAGCAAACAGTAAGGATACATACTTTTTAGGGGGCGTCGCCGGCAATACAAAGCAATCTCAACTGAGAAGGTATTGAAATATCGAAAATCGAAATAATTTTATTTAATACACACAAGATTGGTTATTTTAATATTATTGTAGAAATATTATTTTTGTATTACTGCCAATGATTAATGATAAAATACACTGATAACACGTGTATAAGGATTACAAACATAATAGCGTTTACTGAAGCAACGCTACTCAATTGATCACACTGTACTCGACAAGGTTTGATTACCGGCTTATTGCAATTTTTGCGGTATATTTAAAAAATTGTATACATGTAGTTTAATAGTTATAATTTACCAACTGTTTAACTGGGTAATGGGTTACAATAATAAATAATTGTAATATCTAATAACTCTTAAATATATCATTTGTTTTGATGTCGGTATGTATATGTTAATTGTTGCTAAGTAGTACAATTTAAAATTGTATTCACATTCGCTGCAATCGAATTCAGTCGTTAATCATCAACAAAAATTACGAGCCTTAAAAAAAAAATTTTCATTATTTAAAAATATTTGATAAAAATTATGACCGAAAAGGCCGTTTTACATCATCAAAAAGAAGCCGACCGCCGACTTTTACAGTACAAAGATTACAATGACTATTTGGACTCATTGCGGCAACCGATTGATCTAAAATATTTGGAAAGTATAAAAGAATGTCGCGATATAGCTGAAGCCGGTTACCGTTCAGCAGTAACTCTAACTTATAAAGAGTTCAACGAAAGATTAGAAGAGGCGAAAAAAATGGTAAATCCTCCTGTGAAAATAAGAAAGTCGCTACACAAGACGTTGTTTGGACATATTAGTGAAGATCCTTTAATTGTAGCGCTAGCAGCACGAGAAAAGCGTATCAGACTAGGGGACTTAGCGGTAATTTAACGAATATAAGACCAGATTTAAAGGGCATCCTTAAGGTCCATATTTTTTTGGGGGTTCACTAGTCGATAATATATATAATGTATATATTTGGGGTACTTCACACCGGATCGTGCTCCATTTGACTTAAACATATTAATTTAGGATTTTTCTGACATTTCTTTTACATATTGTAGGTATTACCCATTAAAAAAAGATTCTCGGATTTTTAAAATGTTCTTCTTAAACGTTCTGGAGTTTGCACTAATTTTTTTATTTTGAAAGTAGTATTTTATTTTTGTAAAACTCATTAAAAATTAAATGACAAACAAATTTTAATTTTGATGTGGACTTCCATTAAAAAAGTATTTCAACATGCAGTGCGTAGCGTATTTAGATTACACTTTTCTGAAAAATAAATGCCGTTAAAGAAAATACCAATTTTTTAAACTAAAATTGATGAAATAAAAAGTATGTTACAGACAATCATATTTATACGCCTTGAACACAAAAATAATACCGAAATATCATCTTATATTGATTATGGCCATCGACTATTTAAAGAAAATTGGATTCCTTATTTTGAAGGTACAAAATTTCTAATGCCGAAAAAAACGGATTTGAGTTATTATAACTGGCGAAGCAACACAACATACATCAACAAATCTAAAAATTTTACGGTACATACCTACAACTTAAATCTACTGAAGCCCCAATACCTAAATTCAGCAACATTTGAATAACAACTAAATATATGAAACTTATTTATGTTATATCAATTTTTGTCAAACACTTATTTAAGTCTTTTTTTTAATTGCAGCCTATAGCAAAATCTACTGGTCTTGTGTTCCAGTGTAATGGAGACAGAATGATCGTTAATATTAATCCATACTTACATCCTGGTGAAAATTCTGATTCTATAAGAATATATACGAATAAGTACTTGCAAGTTATGCTGTTCGATCACATATTAAAGATAAAATTAATTTAATCAATTATTGTAATAGCCAAACCTTGGCTTTGCATTCAATTAAAAACGATTGACCTTACATAAAATCATCTGTTTTATTGCTTAATGTAAAACATAAAAGTTAATTTAATTTATAAGTATAGTCATTATTTTACTTATGTAATTTTTTTTTAATAGTCTATTAAATAATATCGAAGCTTGTAAGGCAAAAGGTCGTAAACGACATTTTTTGTTGAAAAAAATATTATGGCAAAATGTACTTACCAAATCAACATATGAACTGTATAGCAACTTTCCTGAGTGACTTCCGAGGCTTTGGATATCATTTCCAGCACTCTAGGCCCATTTTTTAGACATTATGACCATGATACAGAGTGATTTTTCTATCATAAACCACTCAATATCTCTTAGGGGTTAATAAGAAATTAAACCATGTTTGAAACCATTTTTAAGGAATTGTATTAAATCAACATATAAACAGGTTTTTTGGGGAGATTGTGGCATTTTTATTTCTTTTTCTAGATTGTTAGACTATATTTTGATTTATAGTAGACCTATTAGCCTAAAAGTCTTTAAGCAAGATTTGTTATTTATTAACATGAAATAAAACTTAAATTTTGTAAATTTAATAAACTTGAATACTGTTGGAAAAAAACTAAAAATAATTTAATAACCATTGTATATTTTTACAATAAAATTATTCAACTGTTATCAAATATTTGTAAAAGCATTATTAAGATTATTTTATACATTGTATTTTGCCAACATATCTGGTTGTACTTTAAATGCTGGATCCATAAATGCTTGCACTTTTTTCTTGTTGATCCTATTGTGAATACATTGTTATTAAAAACAAATATATTAATAATTTTATTTTAAATAAAAGCTAACTTACCTAAGTTGTTTCTTTCCAACATGCAATACATTACGTTTTTGTAAGCTTTCAAAACAATCCTTAAAAATATTCCCTTGAGGAGCAGTTTCTCGGAGTGTACTTTTAACTTCCATTGGCAATGCAAATGTATCGGATGTTTCTACAAACTTATTTGTTCCTAAACGTCTTGTGCTTATATTGCCAAGTTGTCTCTTTTGTAATCTTTTTAATTTTTTCTTGTTTGTAACATGATCCAAATCATCTAGTTCTTGATTTATAAAACGTAATCTAAAATATGAACCATAATATGAAATGCATACTGAATATTTATATTTATAGCTTAAATCATACTTGTAAAGATCTGAAATTTTTTTCTTTTCAATTTTTACATTCATTCTCTGTCTTTCTTCATTACGTAACCGTCTCTGAATTTTGCGTTTTTTCTGTGTCTTCTGATTATCTCTAGTTGTAGGTGGGTTGATTGCTTTATATTCTGAAGTATCTTCGTTTATCTCGTCAATAGTTGTTTCATTATTAAAACCCGGTAAACCTTCAGTCAGTTCTTCAATTATTATTTTCTAGAAAAAATGTTAGAATATATATCAGTAATTAATTTAAATTATATATTTTAAAACCATAAAAATACTATATTATAAACAAAATTATTTGTTTTTTTAAACAAACATAGTTAACAATTTAAAAAGTTAATGTACACACATACAATTTTAAAAATATAGATAATTTTCCACGGCTTGTACCGCTATGCTGTGGTTTAAGAAATAAAGAATAAATAACTTTTAAATGGAACCGAAAGACAACTTTTCTGTTTCTAAGTATTTTTTTTACATAGTTATAAATTATTAATTAAATTTGGTTTAAGGTAAAAATAAGTCTTTATTATGGATTTTTGAAGATTTTTCTTTTTTTAATAGTAGTTGTTAATATAAAATCTAGGACAAAAAAAGAGTTTATAAACTATAACACAAATATCTATTATAATTCATTACTTCATGGGTTTCTTGAGAAACTTGTTTGAACAAACTTTGCGTACACCTCTTTATATGCGCTTCATGTTTTATAAATTCCATTTCTTTATCAGCAATATTTTCAAGTAATGTAACATGATCTTCGATAGTCGGATTGTATGAAATTCCAGGATGTGGAATTTTTGTGTCATTAATGTTACCTTGACGTGGCCGAGACATTGTTTTCAAACTTAAAGAAGGAATTACTTTAGCATTATGTTGAAGTGCTTCTTTTGGTATCCAACTTATCACATTTTTAACAAGTTTTTCTTTTTTTTGTCCAGGCTCTATAACATTGCATAAAATAAACATTTACTATGTTGTGATTCATAATATAATCTCTCCATTTTCTCTGTATGTTTAACAACCATTCAATTAAACTTATATCTTATAACTTATAACGATCCTCCCCCTTAAGGTTTAAAAATCTGAAAAGATCGGTTAATTGGTTTTTTAAAAAAAATTATTAATAACAACATTTTAACTTGTACCTCTGTAACTTGTCCATAAATCCTTTTTAAATATATCATCTTTTGCTGGCGTATCTATTAACATTTTTACTTTAGATTTAAGTAATTTATTTATTTCCTTTAACTTCTTTTTCTTGACAATTGTTTTCTTAAGAGGTTTGATATTTTTATCAAAATCTTTATCAATCTTCAACGCTTTTTTGTTTTTTTTGACACTTCTACAAACAACAGATACTTTAATTATGTTTTTACAAACATTTATACTACTGTAACATAATTTTTCATTTAAAACTATAGTCATAATATTATCAAAACACTTGTAACGTGTCAGCACTTATCAATAAAACAATAGATAGGGAAGACAACTAACACAGAATAATGCCTCAGGGTTCCGATGCATCTAATAAGTTGAGACCTTACCATCACCGAATAGCAACTAATTACTAATTACAACAATATAATCAGCTTTATTCGCCTTGTAACTTTCCTCTTTTATTGTATGAGTTCGCTCAACTCTGCTTCTCCAGGACCAGATGACAATCTCAGTGACCCAGGTAGAAATGTATTATATATATATATATATATATATTGTGTAATTAGTTTACCTTGTAAATGCATAGTTATAATTGCATATTTAAGAGTTAAATCATTTAAAGGTACGACCGCCCAGACTTAGAGTTTATTTAAGCATAGATACAAGCTAGCTACCCATTCTCTGTTCAAGGTCTGTTTATTAAGCACCTATCGGGGATAGTTCTGTCTAGTCTAGCCAAGCAGGCTTGTTACACACTTAATATTTTACCAAAATATACATTTGGCTAGTAAACCTTAATGATAATATCATTTTTTACCGCTTTATATTAGCATAACATTTTTCGTATGCTAACTTTGATATTCTCCAAACTGATATTTTTTATACAAAACTTACCGTTTAGCTAAAGGAGCAACAGCAGATGTTGATTGTAAGCTTGACAAACATTTTAAAGGCTTATCTAAGGTTTTTTTCTTTGGTTTTCCTTTCAATTTTTTTTTACCAGCAGTATCAATATGAAATAATTCTTCATCTTTTTTACCACTGAATGGATCTCTATTGTAATACAATTATTATTACATTATAGAATAATCATTTTAAGCATGCTTCTTTACATACAAATTTACTTAAAAAAACATACCCTATGCGTTCTTTCAACCTTTCGCCATCAAGATAAGTGTCAACATCAGCCACATCAATTTTTCTACGCCAATCTCGCTTTAACCGTCTTCCTGCCTTCTTTTTAGTTTTCATAGTTTTAAGTTAAAGCGTAGCTACAGCAACGTGGCTAATCAAAAATTGTTAATTTATTAAAACAATTAAATTTGAAACTTGAATTGAGTAATGAGTATTAAATGACAATAAAAGTCAATCACGTGGACTATCTTCTTATAGCTTAATACCTTATCTTCTTGTGCAATCGAATTCGAATTATTGATAATATTATTAGATAGCATTTCAAAATACATTAACCACGGTTGAAAACTATGATAAAAACCATGGACAAATAAATAGATATGAACACCAGTATTAACCAGTAAACGAATAAAAACTAAAAACTTCAGGGTCAGCCTTAAGAATACAGACTCTAAAAGCCGTGTCAAGCGCCGGCAAAAAAAAAAAAAGCGGGGGCCTAGTCGCGTCGGCAGTAATTGAATTTGAATTAGAGGAGTCCGTCTAATTCTGACTTTGGATTCGTAATTATTAATTAGCATAAAAAACACTATACCTAATATGGGAAATAAAAAAATTGCAAAGAAATCCCACAAACTACTATATTCTTCAATCGCGATTCACGTCGTCAAATGCTGCATGGTGGCGTGAACGGCACGAGCGTCTTGCGTAAAGATAATTTTCCAAGTTCAATTAGACGTAACTTCAAAACTAAGCGTTTCCGCAATTTTTTTTTGTACCATCGTTTTCAGTATTGAAAAAACAAATTGATTGAAAAAAAAATCGAAAATCGGGTCTGGGGTGGTGAAGTCGGTTTGAGCCATTTGAAGAATCTCATTCAATTAGATCTAGTTATTTTTAAAAATCAATGAAAAAAAATGTATTCTATTAAATATTTATCTCGTCCAGATCGTATGAGTGAACATATTATATTAATTGAATTACAGTCTACCAAAATCATTTAACAAATTTCAAATCGAAGCCGGGTTTGAATTATTATTTTTACATGTATGAAGCAGTACATACTTCGTCATGAGTTGATGACCAGTTATATTTAGGATTGAAGTCTAGTATTTTGAATTTTTTTATTGTTCAATGAAATTATGATTACGGACTACAAAATTTTCCGCTGTTGCTTTGATTATACAGATATTAAAAGAAGTATTAATTTATTTTTATTCACTGGTCAGTGACACACCAGTGGTCACAGATTAATAAAGATTCTTTATAAAATAATATAGTAAATACTATATACTTAAATTTCTAACGTTGCAACTTTGTATAAGAAAAATTATACTAATTCCCAGCAAAAAATAATTATTTCTTATGTTATATAGTGCACTATAGTTTTTACTAGACAATTTTTAGAAACCAAACGACAAACAATTTCACCACAGGTAGTAAACCCTAACACAGAAAAATATCCTATTATTTAAGTTCACTGCAATCATGTTGGCTGTATTCTCTAGGTCAAGACCTGGAGAGAATATCATTTTATTTTTTGTTTTTCTCTGAATTAACAGTTTTTGCGTGTTTTAATTTGGTCTCAGCGTTTCATTTCAATATTTTCTTTATTTAAGATTTACAATGGTTTAAATGTTCTAGGCTAAGCTAAATCTTCCATGTAGCTTTACTTCCGTAGCGTCATACTTATTAAGCTGACTGACATCGGTCAAAACTACCCTATGTTCTATGATAGTGTCCCTCTGAAAAGGCTAACTGATCTATTTACTTCAGCTAGACCTTCAAAGACAGGTGAACAGGAGTATAAGTGTAAATGGTAAACAATTAACTTTGTTGCAAGTGTTGTGTGCGGGATATACAACAAAATAATACACAATTTTCATTTGATTAAAGTCTATAATCTAAAATAATTATTAATACAATATGATAAATATATTAACATTATACAACTTTCATAAAAAAAAAAAATTGTTTTACTAATGTTTATGAAAACTAACTAATTTCCAGCGAACTTCTTCATCATCATGCTGGAACCTTTTAAACAAGTTTCTGTTTATTAAAAGCAAATTTTCTACTTGTCGTATTGTTACATTGCCATCAATATTTTTAATATAATTTACAATGTTTTCAATACAAGCGCCAAATGGATGAATATTTAAGTAAATTGAAATAATGCCTGCAAATAAACAAAAAACAATGATACACTTTTTAAAATAAATTATTATAAATGAACGAGACAAATCAAGGCTAAATATGATTATGTAATATGTAATGATGTGTATGATATGTATGATTATGTATTATGTAGTATGATTATATATACAAAAAAAATAAAATATATACAGATTTTGACTATTGTTCTAGTAAAAATACAATAGAAAATGTATTTTAGGAATTAAGTTTTAGTAACTTTTCCCAGTTAAAGTGATTATACACACTTTTACTGGGAAATGTTAATTCAATTATCTAGCTAAAACTAAATATAAGTTATCTGTAAAATGGATGCTGATTATTTTGAAATTTGATATTAAAGAATTTTATGAATACAAGAAAATATGTTATTAATATGGCTTGTATATTGTACATTATTTCAGTAAGACTAATTACTTAATAATTTTAATTGAAGTTCCGAAAAATTATTTGAAGTAATTTGTACGTCTTGTTCATCATTGATTTCAATCACTTCATCTTCATTTGTAGCACTTGGGTTATGGTTAGTGATTTCTTGATTGTTTTTTTGAATATCAGATAACTTTTCTGTAAGAGAATTGAGTTCCTGCGAAAACCATTAGGATTTTATAATACCATTGATGATAAATATTATAGATGGTATACCGAGACAAATTTCAGTTCTGGACGTCGACATGGGACAGGCGCTAATAGTATCATTTTCATTAAAACCGATACTACTAGCGTCCTGTTTCGACTTCCAGAACTGAAATTTGTCTCGGTGGACCATCTATAATATTTATCATCAATGATAATACCGATATTTCAACAAAATATGTAATTTAAGTCATTAAACATTTTCTTTAAGACACCTACTTGCCGGGTAGACAATAGTTGTTGTTGTAAGTAATTTATTTGTATATCTTTTTGATCAGAAGTTTGTAGACTAGCTTTCATCATGCTTATTTCATTTTTATAGGCTTCAAGCTCACATTTTAAGTGGTCGTTTTCATCCTACATGCAGAAAATGTTTGTTTATAATAATACCATTTTTTAAATATTCTTATATATTTACCTGTAATTGAATAGGATCAGATTTACATTTCGACTTCTTTGTATTGCCCTCATCATCTGAAAGATCCATTTCATCGCCTCCAATCATCTCATCTTCATCATCAATACCCAATTTTGATAATGCCTATGTATTAGAAAGATAAGTATTTATTTTTACAATTATTTTATTGTTTTATATAAGATAAGGTATATGTATATACTTTTTTTTATAGCAGGTTAAATAAAATTTGGTTGATAATTAATGATATTACGCGTAACTCCTAAAGTTTACATCAGTTAAAAAAAAATTAAATATATCACCACCTACCTAAATTATTTGTCATTATAAAATACCTATTAATGGTTAGTTATATTTATAAAAATATATTAAAATATAAGTTATTTTTGTCAACATGCAAATTTCTTACAATAAAACATTTCATACACACATTTTATTTTTATATATTATTTAAACCATGATTACAAATTTTATGAGATGTATAGCATTACAATGAATATTTAATGTTCAACAAACAAAGCAATTTTTTCATACACAACATAGTCAATCAACTTCGAAATAGATTAAAAATAAATATTACGTCTATTTAATAGCAACTATAACAAATCATATATAAAGAGTTAAGTCAGAAATAATAAACTGTAGTTAGGAAGTAGCAACTAAGAAAGCTAAAGCAATGTCTGTTCTTTCCAATTAGCAAAAACCTACCATTGCCTGCTTCTTCCATGTCTCAATGTTCTTTCTTTGCGCCTTTGTGAAATGATCCCAAACCTTCTTGTGTGATGCAGAAGTAAACACTTTCTCGATCTGGGTGACTTTATACAAGGACAATAATACAGGCGGTTAAAATATAACGAAAAAAAAAAGATAAAATTCCCTTAAAACTGTCATTTTGAACAATAAGGAAGAATAAAACATATCAGAGAATTAATTGTTTGATTTAAATATAGTACACAAATATATAAAAAAAATATTTTTTTATTACTAAAAAAAAAAAAATACTAAATTATTAATTGTTGATTTTATGTATTATGAAGTTCAAACCTGATTAATGACTACTTGCTAAGTGTTTGGGGTTTTAAATCACCAATAACAGTTTTTTAATAAGTATAAATAAATCCTTTATCCACATTGAAACTTACCTTTTATACCAAGTAACATAATTATTGCTAAGGAAATAACCGATTTTTTAAATGGAATGATAGTATAAAGTATAAAATGCAATACTGTTGATGGAATGTTCACATACCTCAACCCATTAACTGGGACGTGTTGTAATGCAGTTTTGTTTGTCCAAACATGTAGTTGAAAAATTATTAATAATATATAGTATTTTAGAAAATACATGAAACTCTCAGAAAAAGCAATACTAACCTTTGTCAAATGCAAATATAAATATATAACTATCATATTTTAAAATTAGACTTAATTTCTTTAAAGCCGAACCAAAAACCAAATACCTGAATCTAATTGTTTTAAAGGTTAATAACCTGTCATGCGTGTAATAGCTTTTAACTGATATGTGTATACAGCATGTTAAAGGCTATTGTTATTATTATTTTATTTTGCCATTAAACATAAAATTTTACATCAGTATGGTTAAAGTGTATTTTTAAACCGACGAATACTTATCAATACAATATCTAGATAATAAATAAAACTTACATTGCAAGAGGATAGTTTGCATACGGCGCTTTGTGAGTTCTTTTAAATTTTTTAGTTCTTCCTCAAACTGGTTTTTTTCAGATAGTAAACGTCGTACATGAGAGTTGGTAGATTGGATAATTGAATAGAAAATATTAACATTACGCTTATTACAGTCACCTCTTTCTAACCAAGTAATAACCACTTGTACAGCATTTAAAAAAGCTGTATCAGCTATATAAAAAAATAAAACAAGTTATTAAAAAAAAAAAAATACATTAAAATTGAGTAAACAATTTACCCTTAATTTCTTCACTTATGCTTAAAGCTTTAGCTTCTGTAAAATGTGGAATTAATGGAGGGGATGGAGGGGGGTTTGAGCGTGTTTGTTGTTGACGTCTTTCTTCACGCATTAAATGTCTTTTCTTCATTTCCCATTCATATTGATCATCGCGAGCCTGAGCATAATCCACATGTAAACGTGAAGCAGATACTAGCTCCTGACCTTTCATCACTAAACGATATCCTATAATGAAATGTATTTGTAATTTTTTTGTGTGCACAATAATTTTGATTTATTCATAGTGTACCTGATAATTCTAATGCAAGATTCACAGAACATTCATTTTCAAAACGTATATGACAAAACTTCCTGTTACTCAAACGAATGGTTAATATTTCTCCATAATTAGTGAAAATAGACTTCACTATATCTTCAGTAATACTTTCTGGTAATCCGCCAACAAATACCGTACGGCAACCAGGAGGCCGTTCTCTAGATGTTGGCGCTGGTGCATTAGCTGGAGGTGGATATAAGGTACATTGTTCAAGTTGTATTATACGTTTATCAGGTTGAACAACATTGGTTTCCGATGGTCTTGGAGCCGTATGATTGACTATTATAGAAGGAGGTGAAGTCAACATATTACCCATTACACCATACTAAAAATAAAATAATTAAATATGAACATACAATTTTATATTTGAAAAAACAAATGGTAGTGATAATAATAATAAATGCAAAATCCTTTACCTGACCCATAAACATAGCAGAATCTATTACATTCATTGGATTCATTAAGTTAAATGGATTAAATTGTGGCATCATTTCATTCCACAAAGGTGCAGTTCTAACTGGCACAGGAGGCTTATTGGAAGACATACTAGGATCAATTGGTATATCTAAAAGAGATGATTTATCTCCTTGGACATCACTATACTGTGTTTCGCTGTAAAAAACATTACATTAAACATAATATTAAAGCAGTTCCTCAATAATAAACCATTAAAAAAAACATTGATACTAGAGAAACATTGAACATTGAGTTATCTAAATTATAAGAGTATTGTATTTTGTTTGTAAAATAATTTGGTAAAAATGAGTTTAGTGTTTTTTTTATTTATACATAGGAATTTGTTTTGTTTTTAACATATATATCCAGATTTTTATTCTATTGTATTCAGGTTGTAGTCTGCCACTATTTTATCTCGCTTAATTATGTGTTCAAAACTCTGGAATTCACTGACGAAGGGGGGAAGGGCTAGTTATTAAGATGTTCTCCCTATATTCCCTTATACCTTTATACTTTACGTCACAATTACAATAATAATTTGAAAAATGTTGCTTTAGTTATCATGGGTTGATTAAATATGTATGGGCAAGAATATATGAGTCAGGAAAACTAACCCTCTTTGAGATCTAGCAACTTGTTCTAAAACTCGTTCCCAACGGTCATCAATATCTCGAAGTTGAACTTCTGGTTGTTCCCAACGGCCTCTTTTAGCTTCAGTTGTTCGGGTTCTATCTTCTGTGTTGGTAGAATCAGCTATTTTTCTGCGTAAAAATGCATCATCTACAAGACAATGCTATAAGTATTATGAATTATACCAATGTAAAAAATAATAAAACTTACAGTATGAAGCCATTATTAAATCAATATGTATAATATATTTCAATAATATTTATACATCATATTAATAATTATTAAAACTATATGCCTGTCTGATAAAAACATAAATAAGTAATATAAATAAGATGATATAATGTCATCATTTACTATTTTTAAATAACAATTATAAGCTGTTCTCAATACAACACAAACAAATCTATCAAAAGTTATCAACAGGGTTGCTCGTTATCAAACATAGGTATATTATTAAATTATCATCATTCATCACTACTGACTACAGATTTAATGAAAACAATATCATGTAATTATATTTGTCAGAAATTATTTCATTATCCAATATCTATAAGGGACAAACAGGTAGGATCAAATCCAAGGTGGATTTATAAATCCCCAAGTTCAAATTTTTTAGTAGTTTCTAATATTTTTGTTTGGGGTTCAGGTAAACTAATAGTTATCAGTTATCACTTATCTGTAGGCAAACTATTTGTGTATATGGTGTATAAAAATACAATAAATCATTAATACTATACTATTATTTATAGTATTTGGTCTAAGTACGGCCGAATGGGTAAAAACTAACCGTAACCAAAAACTATCATAGGTTCCCACGATCAGAAATGCCCAAATTTCAGCATTATTTACAAGTCTTTACTCTTTAGAAGCTGTGCTATTGCTATTGTTTTTGTCATGTTTATTCATGGAAGAATAAAACGTTCTTTTTTTTAACATACTTAACTCATAACACATAAATATATTATTACAACGTTCATTCATACACATTGCACAGATAATAATATTGTGAAAACAGAATGTTTGAGGGTTTGAGTTTTAACGATAATTAATCCTTATTTATTTTACTGCTAATAATTTTGGAGTTGCAACCTTAAAATTGTAAAGCAATTAAGTACCAGTTTACGATTTTTTTACAATATTTGATTGTTTTTACTGTGTATATTTTGAGTTTACTCAAAAATGTTTGTCAAGTGGGATGAATTAATGGATATTATAACAGATTATAGTGTTCAAAATAAATTATTGGAAAAATTTTGTGATACAGCTCATGATAAAAAAGTTAATTTTTGCATGAGTAATACATTTATTAGGTATTATTCATAAGTTAATTCTCTGCATGTTTTGGTTAATGAAATAAAAATATGTAAAGTCATGTTCCTTTAATGTTTGTAGGAGTTGCATAGATCGTTGGTTGGACAGTCCTGAGTTTGACAATAGTCTGAAAAATGTTAACAAGTCTAAACATATTCGAGTAGAAGGGAATAAAATTCTAAAATTAAATGATTATGAAAAGTGTTTTAACTTATATACTCAAGCTGCCCAGTATGCATTACCCGACAGTTTAGAATATGCTTTATCTCTTTCAAATCGTTCTGTTGTTTGTTTTAAACTAAATAAATTTTATGTAAGTACACGATACTTCTCAATAGTTCTACAATTTTTATTAGGAGATTAAAAATAATAATTATTTTTATTTTAGGACTGTTTGAAGGATATTGAAATGACTTTGGATATTTTGAATTTGATCAATTCTAGTTTTAAAGATAATGAAAAAGATATTTTAGTTGTAAAACTTTTAAAACGTAAAATACAAAGTTTATTAGCTCTATGCCATTATACAAATGCGTACACTTGTTGGCAAGAGTTATCAAAAATGTCACCAAATATTTATAAAAAGTTTTTAGATGGTAATTAGTTTTAATGTTAAATTTTTGGATAGGTAATCATTATTTTTTAATTTTACTTGAATTTTTTATTATCTAATTTTACATAAAATATATTTTTACTTAGATGAGCTTATTCAAAGATGTAACGACTTGCCAAAATATTTTATTAAAAATGAAGAAAAACACAAAAGTCCTAAACCAAAAATACTCACAGAAAATTCAATACAAACAATTTTAAAAACAAATAATGTGACTCTTCCGTTTAAATCATCAAAGTTAGAATTATGGTATAAAATGATTCATATAAATTGGTTAAAGTTTGCATAGAGTTTAATCAAGTAAAATATGTATTAATATATTATTCATACATTATTTTCAAAATATGAGGTTATTTACAAAATGTTTATCTTATCGATATTTTTAATGTCTAATATTTTCTATCTTTAAGGCTGTGTTATTGGTTTGATGTTACTCATACTATTGTAGCATGTAGACACGTTGCTGATTCAGTCTGACTGAACCAATCATCTCCGCCGTTGTAGATTGTATAATCCATCATATTCTACCTTCCTCCTATACTTTTCTGTTGTCGTTCTTTCATAAGCCATTTATTACTCTCCGTTCCGTCTTATACAAATTCATCGCCTCCAATGTTCCCTCCTTTTCTTGGCTCGCCCGTGCAGCCCCCCTTATTAAAACTAGGCATTTTTAAAATTTAGTTTTAAGTAATTTAATATTTATTATTTTATAGTTAGATAAAATATTTGTTTGTATTTATTACTTATTGACCACTAAAAAATGAATGCTTATTATTTTAGCTGCTCTGAAACCAAAGGTAGACATTTTATTGCGTCAACTAAGATTAATTATGGCGAACTTTTAATTTTTGAAAAACCAGTGACATTTGTATTGTTATCAGAATATTATGAATCATTTTGCTACAATTGTTGCTCTGCTCTAAAATATCATTCAATACCGTAGGTTTTTAAAAATTATTAACTTACTGCAGAAAAAAAAATTGTATATTTTTATGTATTTATTGTATTTAACAAATTGATATTTTATTTCACAGATGTAAAGGTTGTAGTTCAATTTTATATTGTAGCATAGAATGTCGAGAAAAGTCATGGGAATTATATCATTGTTGGGAATGCAAACAAGGTGCGTCAATTTTTAAATGTATTGGAATTGCTCATCTTGCTTTACGATTAACTTTGGAGACATGTCAAAATACCAACAATGAAGCAGTTAACAATCTTTTAACCCATATAAATGATTTCAATTCTTTGGAGCTGTACCAATATTGTTTGGTAACAATTCATTTTTTTAATTCAAATTTATTATTATTTTTTAACTTCATATAATTACAATTTCATTACATAAAAACTATTAACCATAACATTTTATATGTTTTAGACTGCTACTCTATTACTTTTATTTTTGGAAAAAAAAACAGACTTCTTTTCCAAAAATCCAAAATTGACATCATCATTAGTAGGAAGTGAATTATTACACCACATGACTAGATTAGTTTGTAACGGAAATGCAATTTCAACTTACATAGAATCTAGAGATATTTCTACACCAATGTCACCACTTATTGAAGAATCTGAATCGCGTATAGGAACTGCCATATTTCCTACTTCGAGCATGTTAAATCATTCATGTGATCCTAATATATTTTCCAGGTATCATTATAATTTTCAATTGTTTAACTTTAATATTATATTTCTATATAGAGATTATATTAGAATTTATTTAAAAATATTAATAAATAAATTCTTAAAACTTGATTATAAATTAAAACAGAATATTTTAACAAGAGTAAAATCAAAGATGGAAATATTACCTTTTGTTTGAATCTTTAAGTATATATATATATATATATATATATATATATATATATATATATATAAATTGGCTTACTAAATGCTAGTGTATAGGACCTTTAATTAATATTAATATAATGTTAATTATTTTTTTACAGTAATATATTGAATTTTGTGGTTATTAAAGCATCACGAGACATCAAAAAAGGGGAAGAAGTTACAAATTGTTATGGTATAATACCAAACTAGAAAAAATATAAAGGTCAAAAATAAATTTGTATAATTTTTATTTTTAAGGGCCTAACTTTCGTCGTATGCGTTTTAGTGAAAGACAAGCTGCATTGAAGATGCAGTATTATTTTGATTGCAAATGTAATATTTGTATGGATCCAGTCAAGGATAATGCATTCCATCACCAATTCAACAGACTTGTATGTTTGTCATGTAAAAATGAAATGAGAGAAACTATATTCGATTTAGAAACTAAACAAATTATTTTATGTGATCATTGCTCTAAAAGTTTTAAAAGTCTACAGTATTCACAACATTTAGCTAAAGTTGATGAAACCTATAACAAAGGTAATATTTTGCTACTTATTTTATGAAAAATAAATAATTGATTTAATTTAATTTACAATTTAGTAATTAATACACTTCATTTATTTTTATTTAGCCTTAAAAGAATTTGAAAGCGACTATTTTTCAATAAAATATTTTCCAAAAGAAGACTGTACAAAAAAAGTCATTGGTAGTTTATTAGAATGCTTAACTTTCTATAAATTGGTTCTAAACCATAAAAATTCATATATTTTGAAATGTCAAGATAATATAGCAAAATGTTTAGCAATGATAGGTAATAATAAACTTTTATAATTTTATTTAAACATATTTAACTAAAATAATACTAAGCTTTTTAATTTTAGCTGACTATAGCAAGAGCCTTGAACATTTAAATAGTACTTTTATAACAATAGAACAGCGTTATGGTGAAAATAGTTTAGAAGTAGCATATGAATTGAAAAAAATTACTGATATTATGTCCGAAAATATAGATTCAGAATGTTATAATAACAAGTAAATTATATTTCAAAAGACAAAACAAATCGGTCTAATATAAATAGATAAACCAATATACTTATTTTTTTACAGGAGTTCAATTAAAAAAGCTTTAAAATATATAAAACGCGCAATGAACATTTTTCATGCTCTTTTGTCTGCCTGGGATATTCCATACAATGAACCTGTAAGGAGTATGCAAGCTAAGTACGATAACTTGTCAAGTTGGCTTTAATAATCGTAGAGTCAACACTATACAATATATAGTTGTAATTGATCTACAATATACTATTTTTTAAAGTATACTGGTAAAAATGATATATTAAGTAATAAATTCATATTATATATTTTGTCGGTAATTTTTTTTGAACTTTATACTAAACTAACACAAACCACTATTGTTTAGAAAAATTACACTATTAGGTAAAAAAAAAAATTCCGGTTTTTTAAAATTCTTTTACATTATTAAACCTTTATTATCTTTTGAATCTTTATTACAAGAAAGAAACAAGTACAATATTATGAGTATAATTTAATAACAGAGCACTAAAAAAGTTGGATCAATCAACTCATAGGTACAAGTTGTACACAAACGATTACTATAAGTTAACACAATGTGTACTAATGCTGCATAAACATTTGACATATTCAAGTTTCGAATGTGTGAGCATTAAAATGGTCATTATGACTTGTAACCATCTTAAAAAGTAGCTGCCGTCAGCTGTAAACGTTTTGTTGGGGTATTTAAGATTCTATTAATTTATTCTTATATCGATTTGCTACAAAATTTGAAAATTATTTAAACAAAAATGTAATCAATTTCACAACAAAAAAAATATATAAAAAATGTAGGTAAAATTGAATCTATTAAATCAATCATAATTATATTATATTATTTTAATTGTTACTTACATAACCCAGCAACATCATATTATTAGTTTAGAAAGAGGTTGGAGTTAAAGATTTTAATAGCCTATACTCTGGTCCCCAAATGAGGGATGGCTTAAAAAAAAAAATAGCAAAATCTGTTCAGCTGTTATAATATCATTGTGGTGACACACAGCCGATTATATTAGAATGTACCACCGAGTCTAAAACAGGTGTATAAAATTTGATTATTTAATATTTTACAATTTTCATTGCTATCAGAGAATTGTACTTGTTGAGTTTTTTTAGGACGACCAACTGTAAAAGAAACCTGTTCCTTCGGGGTAACATCATTAAAAGCTAAGTATGACTTCTTACTAAAATAACAGTTAAAAATTATTAAAAGGTGTATTGTTGTAAACAGGCAACATTTTCTAATTGAGGGGCCAAAATCTAAAAAGCCATTTTTTCTACCCACTAGGTTTTTCCCAATCATGGTAACTCATTTTAGTATTGCTATTAGAAAAAATAAATATTATACAGTCAAATAATTAGAATTGTCAGGAAACCAGTCAAGAAGAACAGAGAAAAATAGCTAGTAATCTATATCACTCTCGTTTTGTTGTAAATTAAACATAACACAATTAAAACGAAAAATGATTTATTTTTATTTAATATATTATGTACCAACAAAAAAATTTTTCTGCTATTTAGTTTTATAAACATATTACATAACATTTATAATAGTATTAACCACCATAACTAGTAAGTTTTAACTTAATAAAAACGTATAACACTTGGGTAGTTTAAAAAATCAAGAAAAGTATAATTTTGGCAACAAATAAATAATTATAAAAACTGAAAAATACTGCAATTTGAAGAAAAAAAATTGTCATCAAATATAAACAAGTTTAAATATAAATAAATTTCTGAATAGCCAAAACCAGTGAATATCATAAGTGTTGATATTTTATGACAAATGATTGATTAAAATAAAAATCATTTAACATAAAGGATCAAGAGAGAAAAACAATACAAACTAAGAACAGGTGGCGGTTTTAATAAGAGCACAATTAAGGAATAAATAAAACACACTAACAATGATAAACACCATAAAATTATACTTGGTAATAAGAATATTATTTTATAAATTTAGGAATATATATATATATAAGAAGTTTTCATTATTCATTGATACATTGTTATTTTATTTTGTTGAAACGATTAATTTAAAAAAAAACCACCACATTAAAAACTAAACATGATGGATTTTATAAAATAAATTAAAGCAGGATTAATTTAAGCAAATAATAATTTAAGAAATATTATATATATACTTATATATAAAGTTCTTTTAAAATAGAAAAATTGTCTAGCTAAGGTAACTTAAAAAATAATAAACAAACAGAATAAATAAAGAACAAAAACTTAATCGCATTAAACATAAATGCAAACAATTGTTTAATTGTTATTATTTTATAAAAGCAGGAACTTTTGGGCCCAATTGTGTTATTTTTTTAAGACCTCCTCGCAAGAGGATTATAATAAATGTAAACATTGTATTAATTCATTAACCAATCAGTCATTTGTTTAAAAAAATATTATATAACAAAATATAATTTTTTTGTTGTTCTTAAGAAATGTAAAATTCTTTTTTTTTTCAAAGAAAAAAAATCATTATCATAATAAACATAGTACCAATTAATTTTGAGCATTTTTACTCGTTCTGATGATCAGTCTTCTTAAAAAACAGTACGGGACTTTATGCCTAAGATTATTCACTATCATCATCTTTACGGCACAAGTCCAACACTACCCTGTCAAACTCTTCCATCCGATCATTAAAACTTTTAATCTGTTCGACAATATCAGATAAATGATTATTAATATTATTATGATCTGAGCGTAGTTTTAGTGAGGGCGCTCGAAGAAATCTCTGATAGAATAACGCCAACTCTATATTAGGATTTGAGTCTGAAAATGCAGCGGGCTTAAACTGTAATGGGTTCGTATCATAGCTACGACGCCGACAAAAATCTTCTGGTGATTGAGGTTTAGCTGATTGACCCTAAAAAAAATAAATATATTCATAAAAATATGTTGCACAAACATAATTTATACATTTTTTAGTAAAAAAGGAGATCATAAAACTATTTTCTGAAATGCAAGACATATGTTTTAGAAAATTCAATTTTGCAATAATATTAATTTACTTCTTTAACTTCTTACTACAATTATTAAAATAGAACAATTTAAGATGTCGAGTGTTTGTAATTGACATTGGCGATTTTCAATAAAACATTCCAATTAAAATTTAAGCTATTGAAAAATATAAAACGCATAAGCATGATAACGCAGTCTTAAGTAACTTTATAGGAAATTGTTCAGTTAAATATGTAATAATAGTTGTTAAGTTTTATCAATATATTATATAATATGCTCTATTATTTCATAAATAGGTAGTGTGACATCCTCATAAGTTTTATATTAAGCATATACCAATTACCAACTAAGTTTTTAAATTATTAAATTAATGGTTAATAAAAAAAGAGAAGAAAAACTATAATTAGGTTAGTTATTAATAAATTTACCAATTCTACCAAAATAAAATCATTGATGGTTTCATTGCTTGATGTATTCATTGACTGATTAATTTGATTCCTTGTTTCTGTCTCGGATGAGGTAGAATTTTTAACATTTCCTAAGTTTTCATTGGTGTTTGAAGGTGCAACATTATTATTGACACAAGACGAAACAACTGAATTGTCACTATCTTTAATGGAGTCTAGTTTAGTTTTTGCCAATTGATTACTAGGAACCATGTGTGGTGGCCAGTATTCTGCTTGTTTTCTTGGTTTTATGAATGTATCTTTTGGAAATTCAGGGATACGATATAGATTGAGCTTCTTTACTTTTTCTTCTAAGCTCTCTGAAAATGCTCCCACAGTCCAATCGTCCATAATATAAGCCTTTCTTGACTGATCATCACTATAAATTAAAATTAAAATAAGTAATATATAACAATATATAATACAAATGTACATACTTTGGAGTTTTGATTTGGTTGTGCCTTGGGCTGTATTCCTTACGAAAGTGATCACTTTTGAGCATGATTGGATCTTGTTGGGATGTTAACGTCATAGATGTTCGGTAACAAACAGTTACTTGAATAGTCCCAATTGGCATAGACACCTGACCAATTTGTAACTCTTTGTATTCTTTTCCTGTAACACAGTAAATAAACAACATTAAATAAACACATCCATTTTGATGATAACAAATAAATGATTCTATTGTTTTTGGCAACTTTAAATTTCTTTTGTGATATTAATATACTTATATTACTATGCTATAGCTTTTGTCTGCGTTTAAGAAGCCTTGAAAGCAAGGGAAAAAAGAGATGGTAATTAAATCTTAGAGAATTTAGTTATACAACAATAAAATTAAAATACTTTTCATCTAATACAAATACAAGAAAAGAAATCTATTGTCCTGTTGTGTAATATGACCTTTACAAACTATGAAAACAATTTTATTGGCAACAATTTATTAAGATGCACACAGGTCATGACATTGATTCACATTTATTGCTGTTATGAAAAAAAAAACTTCAGAGCTCAACACTTATCACAACAAATCCTATACTGGACGCCATAATGTGATTACAAATTTTAAAGTAAACACATAGAATCAGATGTAAGAGAAACAAATATAATAATTAGTTTGATTAGTTTTCTACGACTAGACATATCAATAAGAAATAATTCATGTTTCTATTCAGCAAATAATCGTCTTTTAGGAGATGCGAGTTTTTACTTTTTAACATTAATAATAATTTAATTTACTTTTCAGATAAAAATAGCACGGTAATTTATTATCTTGTTGAGTACCATATTTCTATTAGTTAAGTTTGTTATTGTAGTTTTATTAAGAATAATATAACAGTATAAATTATATTTTACTGCATTTTACAGTCACACATAACTTATGCATATGAAATTATTGATCAGTATTGATTATATCAGTATCTATAATATTATAACATGTAGGATATAAATAATACATAAATGAAAGCTACAATACTAACTGATAATGTATTCGGTCAATTTATGAAAGAAAATGCAACACAATGTAACAAGATTAAATTTTTAGTTTTTATACAAATTAAAACAATATATTAACATTGCCACGAATCAAAGAAATAAAGTTTATCAGAAAAAATAATAATAACCACTTATTAAAGAACTGCTTTTATAATATGAAAACAGATTTAATCTTAATCAATGTTTAAAAGCAGTGACCAGTAAATAATATGGTGGATGTCTTTAGCCCATACTCAAGAGTTATGAATTATTCGAATAAAATGTTACCTACCTAGATAACAAATTATTCAAATGAAAGATTATTTGAAAAATTTTTAAAAATATTTTTTGAATAATTTGTAAATTCTTTTTCAATTAAGTAAATTAAAACACGATTTCGTATAAATATAATATATACTACATTTAGGAAATATATAAAACGTATCTGTATATAAATTGTATTTGTAATTAAAATTACCCTCCCTGATTATATAATATTTTAATTACACAATTAACTGACAAGTATCAGTAATAGTATCACACGTATGACATAATATTACTAACTATTGGGTACAGCTTATTTATGACAAATTGCATGAATCGATTCTAACTTTGAAATCACCACTTCCAACTTATTGTAATTTATTACTTATAGATTGTAATATCCGTTTTGTCTGTGTAGTAAAACTCTTGTAATATGAATATTGATCTTTTTTATAAATAAATATATACCTATATTTTAGGGGTGGCCATTAACCTTACTTTTGAGAGCTACAATTTTATAAAGATAATTCGAAGTGAGACTCATTGTTAAGAGATGTTTATAAAATGAAGAAATGACAATTTATTAATTTTACACTAAGCTTGGTTTCAAGAGCCGCATGCGGCTCGCGAGCCTCGTTGTGGCCACCCCTGCTAATTTTATTATTATTTGTTATATGTTGCCTTCCTAAAATATAAATAAAGTTAATTAATTACATTTTGTATGTATATTAATTAACTTTTTTTTATTAATAAAAGCCGTTTAGCATTAATTATAAAATGTATTTATTTTTATATAAATTAATAATTTTTGCCAAACGGTTTTTTATATAAAAAAAAAGGCAATTAATAATACATTAACAGTTTTAATTCATTTTATTTATATTTTAAGAAGGCAACATATCATCTTAAGGGTATTCTCGAACTATAATTGTAATAATTTTGTATAATCCAGTTAAATATGTTTGCCATAGAATTTATAAAAACTGATCAATGGCATAACTAAATAAAAACAAACTAACGTAAAAAAAATTTACTTTAACCTTGATGGTTGTTTTTATCGACACATTTTTATATGTAAACACAAACAAGCATATTGAACAAATGGTAAACATTATTAAATACTCCTAAAAAGCAGACCTTTTAATGTACAATGTGCGTGTACTGTGTACCTACATAGAAGAAGAGGCTACTCAATCACAGCTGAAACTCGTTCCAACATATCGGGCTAACGCCAGACGTTCTACTCACTATAGTACACACACAAGTACACTGACAAAAGAACTAAAAATAAATACATACAACTATATAACTAGAACATCATGCCAGTAAATAATTGGGCTCGTTAAAATAATTAAGCTAATATTTAAATATTTATAGCAGTCAAGACGGTCAGATTTTGATTCCCAAAATAGTAAAACATAATAATAATACGGGTTAATAATAAAATTGAGTTAATTTTTTGGCTGTCTGTCTAAATTCAATAGGTTTCTAAAGAAAAATAAAACATTTCTTGAACAAAACTACAACTATTAGGTCGGCCAAAAATTCTAGTGAAAGTATAAACGTGTCACCGTGACATTTGACCTAAAAATAAAAACTATGTAGCAAAACGCGCGCGAACTTGACTAAACATGGAACGTTTCTCGATTTGAAATTTATTGTGACTGTAACGCGTATATCCGCCATTTAACGTTTTATGTTATGTAAGTTTAAATGAGATGCACTAAGTCATGACAAACGGTGGATAGAAACGATTTGGTTGTATGACGGTGACTCATTCGCCAGCGCCTGTGAAGAACAACTTTTAGTAGGATTATTGAAAAAAAAAAAATTAATTTCCGGCGAAACCATAAACCACAAAGATTGCAATAAAACATGCATTTGAAAAAGTTTATGTTTTTTACAATTCCATACAATGTATTTGTAATGGTGGTGACATGACGTCATAAAATAAAACCGAATGAATAAAGCCGACTTGTCTTATCTGTATTATTTCTATTAACCAAGTTAAAAAAAGCCATTCGCCGGAAACGTGATAGTACAAAACACGATCAATGTTCAAAGCAAATCATAAAAGATTTACATTAAAATTTAAGGTTCGTTGACATTTCGGTGGGCATAACAAGCAAGTACACAGTTAGTTTTAAGTTATAAAAACAAAAATTCTTTCTCAGTTCTACATAGAACTTAATACTAACATCTGCTAATAAATTTATAATCTAATAATAAAACACCACGTTCAGTTATGAGAGAAAAATTAGTGAAATGTGTTTTGAGGGTTTAATCCTCTCTAATAATTCAAAATGCACCCAACAAATAAAAAGGGCAGAAATTAATTAATTCAGTTTAACCCCAAGATATTATTAAATTATTTTTAAAGGACTTCTAAATATGTTTAAGCCTATGGGCGGCAGATTCATACTTTTTACTATTTTGTTTTCATAAATATTAAAAGAACATTTCCAGGAAGATGTCATTCCTGGAATTGGATACCCCATAAATTGTAATTACACGGCATAGTCGGAATTGATTTATCTACAGCTGATGATTTCTTCGTTTCTTATACGATGATGCCATGCAGGTTAATAAAATAAGTAAAAAGAAGTTGAGGACTGTTGTTTTCAAGTGCTTCGTCGAGTTTCTCTTTTGGCTGAAGGGAAGAGTAAATTTATTATTATTATCAGAATAATAACATTTTACGGAACGTGTCATTGCTAAAGAATCGCATCGGGAACTAATGTTATGTTAAAACAGAAAGAATGCCATTAATAACAGCTTAATATTAGATTAGTAATTAAGTATAAACCATAATAATAAAAAAATAATACAATCAACGCATAGCGGTTGTTGCAATGCAATAATGGTGCTGAGATTATATTTAATTTTAAATTATGCCTCAACAATTCTTATAGTTGACAATACGTAACCGTCATAATGGTAAGTGCATATCATAACTGGTGTACCATAAAACTAGGTAAATGAACTCTTTTTAAACTCACTTATACTTTATTAAAAATGTAAATTTTTTATATTAAAATTAATATAATCGTTTACACTTAGGAAAATTAAAGGAGGAATTCGATTTACATTACAATGTAGTTAAAGTCGTATGTCTTTACATTACTCACTTAGCTAGGTCACCTATTCACAAAACCTAAAGCCACTATAAATATTGCAGGAAGTTAAAGCTCGCTGGCATCATAATTGATAATATATATGTTAATGTATTTAATATGAAATATCAATATATTTATTCTTAATATAAAGTATGCCTTTAATATAAATTAAAGTATGTATTATACACCGGAATATCTCTATAGACTAAAATTTATAAAAATAAATAGTTTATTTCAAAATACTACACAGGTCATAAAAATTAAAAAAAAAAAAAAACAAAATTTAATATTTTAAAATATATTCAATTCATTTAATTGACACTCGTTTTTACCAAAAACCAACCTATCACGTTCTGATTAAGAAAAAAAATTACAAGGTTACTGACATTATTACAACTTATATTACTAGACTTCACAATTATATTAGTTAGTATAATATAAAAGTAGTTATTTTTTCCCATATTACCATACTAATCATACTACGACTAAACAGTTTAAACACAATATTGTATTTGAATAGTCGAAATACTAATAAAGAAAAAATATGTACAGCACCAGTAAGACTTTGCTCTCAAATCCATTATTAAGAAAAGGTCATTTATAATTTTACAAATGTCAATTTCAAAAAAAATTAGTTGTGCCATTATTTAGTGGATCAGTTTGATATTGAAATATAATAGTACTCTAAAATGAATAATGTAATAAAACAAAATTGTATTTCGTGGCTAAGATGTTATAGCGCTATGCGCTTAAAATAATAAG